TGTTTCAGATACACCTGATGTTTCTGTTCTATTGGGAGATGAGAACACAGTGGATTATGGCTGGAGTCCCTTTGGCTTTGGCTTTATGGCAGTGCACATGTGCCCCTCTAGCCTATGTTTCACCCACTACTCCTTCTGGAAGGCCTTCCTTTAAACATTTTGCAGCTCATGTTGTAGCAACTTTGCTGCCAATACCAAATGATGCTGCTTTGCAGGTATGCAAGTATATACAGTGAAGGAAATAAGTATTTGATCCCCTGCTGATTTTGAATGTTTGTCCACTCACAAAGAAATGATCAGTCTAAAAATCGAATGGTAGGTGTATTGTAACACTGAAACATGCGTTTCTTTTGAATTTTGTGTTGCTATTCTGTCTCTAACAAATTATGCACTGATTTGCAAGTTCATGAGGGAAATAAGTATTTGATCCCCTCACAAAACATGACATAGTACTTGGTGGCAAATCCCTTGTTGGCAATCACAGAGGTCAGACGTTTCCTGTAGTTGGCCACCAGATTTGCGCACATCTCAGGAGGGATTTTTGCCCACTCCTCTTGGCAGACCCTCTCCTAGTCTTTAAGGTTTGGGAAGCTGATGCTTGGAAACTCGAACCTTCAGCTCCCTCCACAGATTTTCAATTGGATTAAGGTCTGGAGACTGGCTAGGCCACTCCAGGACCTTAATGTGCTTCTTCTTGAGCCACTCCTTTGTTGCCTTGGCCGTGTGTTTTGGGTCATTGTCATGCTGGAACACCCAACCACGACCCATTTTCAATGTCCTGGCTGAGGGAAGAAGGTTCTCATCCAAGATTTGACGGTAAATTTCCCTGTCCATCGTCCCTTTGATGCGGTACAGTTGTACTGTCCTCTTAGCAGAAAAACACCCCTAAAGCAGAATGTTTCCACCACCATGTTTGACAGTTAGGATGGTATTCTTGGGGTCATAGGCAGCATTCCTCCTCCTCCTCCTCCAAACACGGCGTTGAGTTGATGCCAAAGAGCTCGATTTTGGTCTCATCTGACCACAACACTTTCAACCAGTCCTCCTCTGCATCATTCAGATGTTCAGTGGCAAACTTCAGATGGGCCTGGACATGTGCTTTCTTGAGCAGAGGGACCTTGCGGGCACTGCAGGATTTCAAACCTTGTCAGTGTAGTGTGTTACCAATTGTTTTCTTGGTGACTGGGATCCCAGCTGCCTGGTGATCATTGGCAAGATCCTCTTGTAGCTCTGGGATGATTTCTCACTGTTCTCATGATTATTGACACTCCACGAGGTGAGATCTTGCATGGTGCACCAGACCTAGGGAGACTCGTAGTTGTCTTGTGTTTCTTCCATTTGTGAATGATTGCACCAACTGTTGTCACCTTCTCACCAAGCTGCTAGGTGATAGTTTGGTAGCCCAGTCCAGCCTTGTGTAGGTCTACAATCTTGTCCCTGACATCCTTGGACAGCTCTTTGGTCTTTGCCATGGTGGAGAGTTTGGAATCTGATTGATTGCTCTTGTGGACAGGTGTCTTTTATATAGGTAAAAAAAAAATGAGATTAGCAGCACTCCCTTTAAGAGACTGCTTCTAATCTCAGCTTGCTACCTGTATGAAAGACACCTGGTAGCCAGAAATCCTGCTGAATGATAGGGGATCAAATACTTATTTCCCTCATGAACATGCAAATCAGTGCATCATTTGTTAGACATGCATTTCTATTGAATTTTTTGCTGCTACTATGTCTCTCAGTGTTACAATACACCTACCATTCGATTTTTAGACTGATCATTTCTTTGTGAGTGGGCAAACATTCAACATCAGCAGGGGATCAAACACTTATTTCCTTCACTGAAGGTATGCAATTATGCCGGTATGCAATCACGCAGTTATGCAGTTACACACCCATGCAGGTATGCATTCATGCAATTATGCAGGTATGCAAGTATACAGGTACTCAGTTATGCAAGTACGCAGTTATGCAAGTATGCAGTTATGCAGGTACGCACTTATGCAAGTATGCAGTTATGCAGGTGCGCACTTATGCAAGTATGCAGTTATGCAGGTACGCACTTATGCAAGTATGCAGTTATGCAGGTACGCACTTATGCAAGTATGCAGTTATGCAGGTGCGCACTTATGCAAGTATGCAGGTACTCTTTAACCACTTACCCTCTCACGACTGCTCATCCCCTGTGGAATAGATCAATTTTTACATTTTTGCTATGGACCTATTTACTGGGCAATAAATTTGGCATTACTCAAAGAGTATGTTAACCCAACATTTCATATAACTGATATGTGGGGTGGCACAGTGGCTTAGTGGTTAGCACGTCTGCTCTTTTTTAAATGTGACACTAAAACATGTTAATGAACAAAACAAATAAAAACAACAAACGTTTACATGCTAATTCTTTTTATGTTAGAAATGAACAAATATTCCACAGGAAAATATTAGTTGAATGGAGAAGGAAAGAATGAGATAATTAAGGCTGATTAGGGTAAACTAAGGGTTACTAAGGGATTAAACAGTGGAAAATGTTTTTTTTTTTTTTTAACTTGTCAGGTTGCTTTAACTGTCATCATCTGCAGATTGAAGTTCAGCCCCCTTTGATATGCAAGTGAATGAACAGAATAGATACAAAAGTAACTATGTTATTTTGTATCTTTCCATTTGGCATCTTCATTTAAATACGGAGTCAGAGAGCATTTTTTTTTTTTACAGCAGCAGTTGCCAGATCTGTTTTGTGTACACAGCTACTCTGGCTTTGATTTATCAAAGCAGAGAATTTCTGGGGAGTAGAGGAGGGTCCTGGCAGCAGGGCACAAGGACTGAACATGCTACACATGTCCTGTGTATTATAATGACATTTTTTGAATGTGTGTAACACGGCCTGTGTCTTAAACTAATTAAGTAAAACCTTTATGCGGAATGGAAAACATTGTGTCTGTAACTACGTAAAAATGGACTTTGGCTTTAAATTTGGTAGTTAAGTCAGTCTAAATCTGCTGGGCATCTAACACTTTCCACATGTTGACATGCTGCTGTCCAAGGGTTTTTTCGGTTGCTCCTCCATCCAGAGTGGAGCCACTCTAAGGAAGTGTGTTACTGTTGGAATAAGTGAAAATGCTGGAAAAAAGGAAAACGAATGCAGCCACTTCATTTATGGATTGCTAAGTTACAATATGTTACATTTTTGGCTTTAATACTGTTTTTAAAGCTCCATTTATAGACACAAAAAAGAATGCCAGGAATTAAATAAAGCCAAACGGTAAACTCCTACTTCTATTTAGTAGAAAACCATGCAACCTTACTAAAGCCAGATTTCAGAGACAGGGATGTGCAAATCATATCGGCTGACTCCCGGGACAAGCAGTTCCGGGTGGCAGGCAGGTGTTTTTTTTCCTACATTTAGCCCTGCTGTGGGCAAGCAGCAGGCTTTACTTTTTGCTAGGCTCAAAACTAGCCTGTCACAGTCCACTCAGCCCTGGCACAGAGTACAGCTGGCTGCATGCGCTTTCACACTTCCCTCCTGCACGCTCTTGGGCTTCTTTCACTGGTCTCGAGGAGCAGGCGCACCTCGTGCTCGCACCCATGGGAAGAAGAACACAAGGAGGGGAGGAGGAGGGGGGAAAAGAGTAACTAGAACATGCAGAGGAGAAAGTGAACCAGACTGGAGGACGGATCATTGACACAGCTTCAGCTGCAGGACTTGGAGGGGGAGGATGCCTGGTCTTCGCAGTATGGGTTTAGAAAAAGGAGGGATCACAGGTGTATCGGTAAGAGGTGAGAGGGCCAAATCTCAGAATCCCCTCCATCCCCTTTGTCATCTAACTAAATTCCTTGCAGAAAAATGTTCCTTGATGCCACATGACAGCGTTGAACATGTTAAGCTAAGATGAGCCCAGCGGTAAAGTGTCCTTTTAAAATGTTGGCAGCTATGCAGTGTCACCATGGCAGAAAGTGCAGGGCCCTTTTAAATTTTGCAGGATGTTCGATTTCAACTACACTGCTGACCGAAGTGCTGGATTAAAGTGGTATTAAAGGTTCGGCTTTAAAAAAAAAAGCAGCAGCACCTATCCTCCTCTTCTCGGGTCCCCCCGCTGGCACTCTCCTGGCTCCTCCCCCTTGACCAATGTCCCCAAAGCAAGCTGCTTGCTATGGGGGCACTGGTGCATGCTCGCTCCTGTGCCCTGCTCTATGCATCCAAAAGACACACATAGCCATGGCTCAGCCTCACCCCTGTTCTCTCCTCGTTAGCTCACTGGCTGTGATTGACAGCAGTGAGATCCACTGGCTCCCCCTGCTGTCTCAGCCAACCTGGGAGTCCCAGGACAGCTGTCCCCAGGTGTGGTGCTGGAGACAGGGAAGGGAGGAGGAGATAAACACAATATTTACATGATTTAAAAACATTAAAAGTTTAAGTCAGCATAAAGCCCTTTTTCGTTTTTAAAAGCCCCAGGACATTACTCACCAAGACAAATAGATTGGGACCCCAATTTAGTCCCTTGGACAAGTAGTTTTATAAAAAAAAAAATTCCACACCCCGGAGAGAGCTCCTCATATGTCAGATGAGAAGAGCTGCTTACTGAAATGTGAACCTAGCAGCTTCCTCTCTGATGTACCATCAATCAAGTTTAAGCTTCCAAAGCAGGAAAACCTAATAGGTAGCAGTAGGTAGCAGTAAGAAACTAAGTGCTGACAACATCGCTTACCAGACTTTTTGTATAAAAGCCAAACTTTCTATATTAATCAATGTCCACCACGGTACATTTCTACTGTATACAAGAGAAATCAAACAGCTGTTTGGGAATGCTTTTCTTGCTGACAGAAGGAATGGGCTGCACTGCAGCACTAATACCAATGCTTGGATGAGAAACCGAAGCCTTGGATAGGTAGCATGGTCTTGCTGAATGAAATGTACATTTCACTGCCTATTGTATTTCTTCTTTATCTAGCACCCTGCATATTCCCCCATTTTTACAATTCATTTTCTCCCTGAGAAACATACATACCAAGTCTTTCTGGACGATTGCTTGTTGCTTCAGTTTCTGGGCTTCTATGGCTTTTATATCTTCTGCAGATAAAACAATTTCATTTTCTTTTGTTTCTTCCTTTTGTTGTGGCGTTATACCAGATGCCTGTAACTCCTAAAATTAAAATAGGTTCAGTTTAAATATTGCTCACAATATTGCTTTTACTTCAAAAGCACACCAGACGACTTTAGCTACCATTTGGGTAACCCATTATCTTAAGAATAGAAGAAGTCCAAAATGAGTGAAAGATGCATAGCTACACCTAATATTAACCAGACCTAGATTAGTTTGTGATTTTGAATTTGCTTTATTGTATTTGCATGCATCATTAACTAATATACAGTATTTGCTTTGGTGCTACCCACTCCCAACTTACTTACTCAATTTCCCTTTATATACAAATATTAGTTTCATGAAAATAATATTCGGAAAAGACAGAAAACAACACAAAATGCATAGCTGGAGACTATACAAGTGAATGCAATGGCCTTTTTTGCCACTTCTGTGCAGTTTGGTTTGTTTCCAAAGTTCAGGATAACTGGGCCATACATGACAAATGCATTTCTAAGCATAAGGATTAACATGCATGATACATTAAGGTCACTATCCAACAGTATGGCTGTAATTTTTGTGCGGGAGGAATTATAACTTATGTTTAACATTTCCCAGGGTCAAAAGGTTATCACTATCCTGAATGTGGTAAAGACCAAATGCTCTGAATACAGCAATAAAATACCAACTGTGTCATTATTTAGTTAATTGGTTCTTTTAAGTTATTGCATATATTACAACAATAGTATATCATACCCCAAAAGCAACAATTTAAACTTACACAGTTAATTTTTCTAAGTTCATTCGTAGCCTCAAAGTTGTTTGGATCAAGCTCCAGGACCTTTTCATAATCTGTGAAATAAAATTATTCATACAGTATAAAGGACCTGGTAATTAAAGGTGTTTAATAAGTAACTAAGGGTAAAAATTCTGAATGTAAAAAAAATTACAGAGGGTCAGTAAAAAAAAAAAAAAAAAGTTACAGCGATAAATGATTACTAGGAAACAAAAATAATAAACACATCAAATCAAGGTGGAAATGCAGATGTTACTAATAAGATATTGTAACTTGTATAAGCTGATACCATGTTGTCATCAAACTACTCAAAAGAGCCAGAGTGACCACATGTTATATACAGGATTGGACAGGGCCTAGGAGACAGGTAATATAAAAAAGCTATAAATGCCATAAAAGTAGTTTGTCAGTGATTTTCTACAAGCATAAGATGGTCACAAACCATTTAAAAGAAGCAATACTGGTCATTATCTATACCAAATCACACTTAAGCTTTCCATCTGTGTAAATTTAAAACAATTAGAATTTCTTAAATGGAAAAAACAGAAAGCACTGACATCTTTAGGAAAGTGTATTCTCACATTAAAACTATCTAGAAGTAAACCTGTATACATTTATGGAAAGCTCCTCTAAACCCACATAATTGCATACACCATTCTACAGTATATTTATTCCTATACATATAAATTATAACTGCATAAAATAGAAAAAAAAAATAAAATCAGAAAATGTATTATTAACAACCTTCTTTTGCTCCCTGCAAATTTTTTAAAGCAAGACGAGCAGCGCCCCTTCGAGCGTAAGCTTTTGAATAGTTGCGGTCTAGTGCAATAGCCAGATTGCAGTCTGATTCAGCAACAGCATATCTGCAGAACAAAACATAAATAAATGTTAGGAAACTACAGAAACCATATTCTGAATTATGTATATAAAAAGTGTAAAGACTTACTTCTTTAATCTAAAGAAAGCGGATGCTCTGTTGGTTGGCAATACTGCATTATACGGATCTGCATTCATGCCTTTTGTATAGCACTGCACAGCTTCATCGTACTTTCCCGCTCTGAAATAATTATTTCCCTAAAACAAGCAATTTAGCATCATTTTAGCATGAAGATATTTTTTTCTTCACTGTGTAAAACAATGTACTATTCTCTAACACTATTTACCAACGTGTCCATTTTACCTTAATACATCCCCTGCTTTTTTCTGCATCCAAAACACAAAGAAAGTAGGTTATATGGTTGTCAATGTGATAGTTTACATCAGTGGTTGTAGTTCCAGTGCATTCTAGTTGCAGAAAAAAAAGTAGAACAGGCTGCATTTTTCCTGCACGGAGCTGCACTAGAACGCGGTAAAATGCATAAAAAACGCACCAAACTGCACTGGAACGCACATGTCTCTATTTAAATTGAAGAAAAAGAGAGGGGAAAAGAATGAACTGGAAAACATCAAAAACGCACTGGAACGTGTCAAAAACGTACAAGCAGAAACGCAGCCAGAACTCATCTGGACTGCATTTCTATAGTGTGAACCGGCCCTCCAGATGAATTCCGGATAAGTTTTTGCTTACAGTTCACACCACACGCCATTCGAGTGCAGTTTTGATACACTTTGCTATGTTCCAGAACAGTTCTGTTCTCAGAAAAAATGCAGCATGTTCTACTTTTTTTTTCTGCCCCGGAAACTGACTGCACTGTTGTGAACTAGGGCCATTGGAACACATGGAAAACACTGTGCGTGCATTTTTGATGTGGAAAACAACGCACTGGACTGCATCTGGTATGAACTGGCCCTAAGGGGCCACACTAGATGCAGTCCAGTGCATTTTTTTCTGCATCAAAAATGCATGCACAGTGTTTTCCATGTATTGCAATGACTCTAGTTCCCACCAGCGCAGTCAATTCCAGTCAGTTTCCGGTGCAGAAAAAAGTAGAACATGCTGCATTTTTTCTGCACAGAGCCATACTGAAACATAGCAAACTGCATCAAAACTTCAATGGAACAGAGTGTGGTGTGAACTGTAAGCAAAAACGTATTCGGAATACACCCGGAGTTCATTTTTGTGGTGTAAACTGGCCCTTAACATAAAAAATGCCTTACTAACTGTTCCCCCATCCCTAAACACTTACCTGGCTCCCTCCACTGATCCAGCGCTGTTCCCCTCTACAGCACTGCTCCTCCACTTCTTGGTCTAACAGGAGACACAGGCAGCAGTGGGAGCCCTAGGCACCTGTAGGAAGAAAGAGTGGACAACGCCGGCGTGGGGACTGCAAAAGAGGAGGCAGGGGACTGATTAGTGCAATATAGTTGCACTGATCAGGAAAGTATAACTTTTTTTTAAAGGCTAAGTGCACCTTTTGTGAAAAAATAATTAATGCACATATTTTTGCCGGAAAAAAAATGCGCACTGATTATTTTTTCCCTAAGGATCAGGGGTGCAATATCAGGGTACTGCAGACAAGCCCTTCAGCTTTGAGCCCATAACTCCAATATAGGCTGACTGTTTACAAGCTGCAGGGCTTGTGATTGAACTATGAGAGTGCTCATCGGGGTCCTTGAAGTTAATTGAGAACTGATTTGCTGACGGTACTTGAAGTTCTCTCATTCACAGATCTCTGTGAATGAATGATGTGGCTGTTTGGGCGCAGCCTTGCACATCAGCACTATTTTCAAAATGTGACGGCAGATACAGGGAGACGTTCCCCCGCCAGCTGTCACAGGGAGGGGAGGGTTGGGTCTGGAAGATGGTCAGGGGCAGGTCTGAAGCATGTTACAAGTTACACCTGCATTATGATTGTAATGTGTAATATGCTCTGCAAGGTGAACTCATCCTTTATTTACAAAAAAAATGCCTTTAGAATCACTTTAGCTGTTTCACATTTCAGCACTGATCAGTTCACCTTTTCTTAAAAGTTGCTGTTCTTTCAAATTGTAAGCTTTAAAGCAAAATGAAAAAAAAAAAAAAAAAATCATACATCTCTGCATACATGCACTATTTCCCTTGTTTTATCCTTTAAAACACACTACAATTACATAAAAATAACTGCTGATGTGCCAGAAATATAGTGTGCTCCTACCTTTCTCTCTGTGTAACAACACAGTATATTTTTGGTTCTGAATTCCAAAGTAGGTAGTGTCAGCCCTGTCAACGTCATTCATAATGGACTGCAAAGAACACAGACTTCTCCTTATCTCTTTTAGAATATTTTTTTTACCTTGCAGTCCTTGGAATGTGCAGAAACGTGGTCTCTTTATATTGTACAGTGAGCTGATAATGTGTTTTAAAATAACATACGGTTTTTTGTAGCTTGTTTTCGGGAGGTTTCACATAGCAACTGTGTTGTGTTTCTGAGAAGATGCTAGGTTTTGACATTTAACTATGTCAGATGTCAGTTGGGGGGGAGAATGCTGGTCATCTAGAAACACAGCCTTGTAAGCTAATGTATTGGTAAACAATCCCAGGCGTCTGAGATGCAGCGAGCACTACAGTCATACAGTATATTAGATCAGCCTTTTTCAACCAGGGCGCCTTGGGGCTTCTTCAGGGGTGCTTTGGCAAAATGTCTAAAAATTGCTCAAAACTTGTATACAAGCCAGCAGGTGGAACAAGCCTGCCTTTTAGTTACACAAAGGCACGGGTTTTCATTACGGGCACACAGGCACCATTGCAACCTTCTAGCCGCAGGCGTCCTGACAACCAATGACATCATCAGTTGATAAGGAGGATGTCGGCTGCCTGCACAGCATGCTAGTTTGACCCTCCCCTAGCCCCTCTCCATCAGTGCTGGGGGTCACATTAGCTCCATGATGGATAAAAACTGAGGGAGAAGAGAAACACTGGAATAATACTCAGCACCAGTGTGCAAAGGTGTGTTTGCTTTGGAAGAATAAATCACCTCTAATGTTGGGTGTCCTACATGTGTAGATGTAGCTGAAACTATTAGACTAGTTTTTCACATTTTAGAATGGGGTGCCCTTTTAAAATTATGGACAGTCTAGAGGCACCCAATTTTAGAATGGGGTGCCTCAAGACTGTCCATAATTTTAAAGGTTGCCTCAGGACTATCCATAATTTTAAAGGATGCCTTGACTGAAAAAAGGTTGCGCAACACTATTAGATTTTGCCCTGTGACACAATGCACCTTAGTTGATGCCTCCAGATTCAGTCTGTTTAGTCTGTTAGCCTAAAGGTAGGTGGTGCTTTGATTTGCAGCAGATCACTACTCCATACTTCATTGGTCCTCTTGGACCAGCGGTCTTGTGTGGACTACAGCCCTGTGTGACTAACTGTACTCTATGGACTGTGGAATTATCTGCTACTTGTGTGTGCTTGCCAGTATGGGAAAAATCTCTAAGAAGCATTTCAACCAGAAGAGGTCAAGGAATGCCTCAGAAAAAACTGACGCATCCTCACCCCCATATGTGAGAGGGTTCAAGTGAGTGCAGTGGCTCTATTAAAACTCAAAATTTTGAATAATAGAGAGTAGAACTTAGCGACATGACAAACTGGGGCTTACAATAGGAGAGGCCTAAAGTAACACAAAACCAGTGGGTTCCATGGACATCAAATGAATTGGGAGCCATTATGAAAGGGAGCCTCGCTCCTTGGCAAACCCCTACAGGCTTTGCCTGACACTTAAAGTTTGTTTGTCTCTGTCATAGACCCAGTTGAAGAGGACAGCCCAAGAAAAGTACTTCCTACATTTGCAGTTGACATAGCCCTTTTGCTCAGAACTCTATAGGTTGACTAAGGAGAGATGAATTACCTTTCCCTTGTCTGCGGAGTACAGTGGAAGCAGAAACTGTACTACAGGCTGATCTAGCCTCCGAACTCCCAAGTCTCTAGGGGGGGTCTAGATGGCAAGGTTACTGCACATATATTTAAAGGAATAAAATGCTGCTAGTACAAATTTGCTTCTTATGCACCCAAGCAGTGATGCAATCCTGTGCAATCTGTTGTGAAAAGATCTCCTCTGCAAATAAATTGCCACATTGTCTGCACACCATAGGATCCCTAGAAAATGCAGATAAATTTATAGATTTCGTCCAGTTGCCTGCTTCTTTACCATGGCACTTAGTGCCCCAGACCGCACAGATGAAGGGTTATTGAAAGACTGTTCCTATGTGTAGGTGACTTTAAAACTTGAGAATAGTTATATACTGTGAGTCAGAAGCAAACATACTCATCCTGCCAGTAGAAAGCCCTGATAAATGTTTACAGGTTTGTCTAGGATTTGAAGGTGTTAAACCAGGTGATAGAAACTCATGTGCAATTGTCCATGGCCCACATACATTTCTATCAAGCATTCCATTGAATTTTGCTGTCTGTAGTGGCCCTACAGGGGTATAAAATGGGTATTTTGAGGAATACTTGTTGCAATAATTGAATAGATATAGCAAAAAAAGACTTTCAGTGCAATATTTAGCACATCAAAGGAGAGCAAAAACAGAAGTTCTTTGGGTTTACATACTCTAAAGCTTAGGTTTACAACTATGCAGTTGTTTTTTACTTTTGATCAGTTTCTGCAGTGTATTTTGTGGTGTGTTTTGCACACGTGTTTCTGATAGGGTTTTCACAGTTTTTTATGCTTTTTGCGTTTTGTATGGTTTTTTTGGACAATTTGTTGTTGCGTAGATTAAAAAACCCAAAACGTGTCAAAAAAGCATCAAAAACCCAATCCTTGCTTTTCTGCAGCATCTCCATTGAAGTTTATTGAACCAAAAACGCACTTGCATTTAAAAAAAGTAATTGACCCTTTCCAAAAACACAGCAGCTGAAAAAAGCATAGGTGTGAATGTGTCCCATAGGAAACCATGTTAAATGGACTGCAGTGTGTTTCTGCAAAAAGCACCAAAAACCGCATAGGTGTGAAACAGGCCTAAGTAACTTCCCATTTAACTCTTTCCCGCCCAACTTATTGTTGGATGACGGCCGAGCAGGATCCCTATTATCCTGGGAGGAAGTCATATGATGTCCTCCCAGGATTGGGCTGCACTCCGGCGTGATCTGTCACTGGCTGTGTCCACCGGACCCGGCCGATGGCAGATTACTACACCGACCCACAATAGATAACATGACAGTTTGCTATACAGATAACATGGCAGGTTACTACATGCTGCCAGTGTCATGTGATCAAAGTGACCAATCACACTAGATCACATGACAGTTGTAAACAATGAATGGTTTCCTTTCATGCCATTCACTGCTTAGAACTGGCTGCCAGCTGTGATTGGTCACATGTACAGACTAGGCCAATCACAGCCCATCTGTAGCATGTGATCAGCTGTGGCCAATCACAGCTGATTACAATAAAAACTACTGAATGAATTGGTTTCATTCAGTAAAAATGCTTCCAATGAAATTTGTTGGTATAAGCAATCATAATGCGTACAAAAAAGCAATTCTGATCATTTGCCCAGAGTAGTATTATGTTACTATGGTAACATGGTATTGCTCTGGTCACAGGAGTAGAAAAAAAAAAATCATTAAAAAAAAATATTATTTTTTTTTTACATACTGTCACCAGTGTCCCTGATCACTGCTGCACCAGTTATATGAGGACACTGTACTGCATTGGTGACAGTACGTAAAAATACAAAAAAATTGTGAAAATTATTTTTTCAGTTCTTCATTTTCCACAAAATTATGACAAAAAAAAAAGACAACTTCAAAAAACTCACCATGACTCTTACTAAACACCTTAGATCAGGGGTGTAAAATTGGTGGCCCTCTAGCTGTTGTGAAACTACAAATCCCATCATGCCTCTGCTTTTGGGAGTCATGCTTGTAACTGACAGCCTTGCATTGCCTCATGGGACTTGTAGTTTCGCAACAGCTGGAAAGCTGCCAGTTTGATACCCCTGCCATAGACTGTTTACTTTCTGAAAAGGGGTCATTTGGGAGGTATTTGAATGGTTCTGGCATTTTTGAGCCTCAAAAAATGAGATAGGCCATCAGTACATCAGGATTTATCAATTTTGAGATATATACTATAGTTTGTGGACTCTATAACTTTCCTACCAACTAAATATTAAACACTGATTTGGGTTATTTCTACCAAAGAAATGTAGCAGAATACATTTTGACTTAAATTTGTGCAGAAAGATTATTTAATTACAAAATTTTATAACAGAAATGAAGAAAAACGCATTTTTTTTTTTCAAACGTTTCAGTCTTTTTTCATTTATAGCGCAAAAAATAAAACACCCAGTGGTGATTAAATACCACCAAAAGAAATCTCTATTTGTGTAAAAAAAACTATTACAATTTCATATGGGTACAGCGTTGCATGACCGCGCAAATGTGAAAACTGGCCTGGGCAGGAAGGGGGCAAAAGTGCCCGGTAGGCAAGTGGTTAAAAAAAAACAAATAAAAAAACTCCACTTCTATTCTGACCGCTAATACAGAGGGCTGCCCCACTTAGCTATCCAACAATCAGATGTTTCAGTGCTGTTTAACTTTAAATAATAATAATTGTTGCAAGGGTGAAATCTTTATAGTTGCGTAAACTGCAGGTCAGTGGCTTCTGGATCACCCAGTCTTTTGGCAATATCTCGTTTTGAGAAAGCACAACCAAACAGGCTTTAGTAAGGTGGGCTGCAGAAATAAGCCTTCTTAAAACATGTCTCAGTTCCATCACAAATCTTAGTTCTCTCTCATTAAGCAATGGATTATGACCATTCCTTTAGCATGATGACAGTGGGGGAAATCAGGATGTGCAACTGAGCCCTACCTTTTCCTTCTCTGTCAGAGCGCTGTCCTTGTCAATGATGATTCCATCCTCATCTCCAGAGTCAGACTCTGTAGACACTGATTCATTTGTGTTGTCTTCCTTATCAATCTCTTGTAGTACTTTGTCCTGCACAATATCACACAAATATTAAATTCAGCTGTAAAAAGAGATTTTTCACAAACCAAAACACGTATTTAAGATGCCGAAAAGCAGAAGTTGCCATTCTTGGACACTTATGAAGAATACAAGTTCTGGAGCATCATTCACAAAGTGAAGTCATGAGAGCTTGCCTGTTCCAGAAGCAGAACTCCCTTTAACAGACTAAGAAAGAAATTCCATCATTCCATAAAATAATATATTATTCACATATTTTCTAAGTGTGACATTTGCAGGTAGCTTACACAAGTTAAATTGGGAAAAAGGTTAGCACATTTCCCTTTAACAATCTTGTCATCTTGCCAGTATTCAACTACAAAACTACACACGAGGGGCCACAGACAGCAATAAAAATCTAAGAGACGTTTTGAATTTTTCCACTCCCATCTAAAACTCTGGAGTTACACTTCCATTTGCTGACATCCTGCAATCCAGAGGTTTTCACATGGTGAAGAGCTGTTCCTGGAAGCATTTTTATGCTTCTTTATTTTTATTCAGATTGAAATATAATTGACTATAAAGTATATGTAAAACAACCCATTCAGTTTAAAATGAAAGGCAAAACATTTGTACATATATAATTATATAAAAAAAACATTATAACTACATTTTTCTTTCTTTTTTTGTAAGTGATCACATTATCCTCTACATAAGTAGCTTAGAGAGCTGGGTGAGCTTAGGCAGCAGCACACTGATCTTCCCAGTGAATGTTTGTGCAGGAGGGGGAGGGTGTCAGCAGACGTCTTTGGAGGAGAGCAGACCGAGTTTCCAGCACAGATAGAGAACTGATCACGGTGTGCTCTCCCATGCCCAGTGTGGTCAGTTTTTAATAGGAAAGCAGAGGGACTGGCAACACCAAGGATTTCACACAAAGGAAGCAATACAAAGAAAACAGGATACTTTTTAAAACACAAGTACATGGTACAACAGGCACATATCAGGAATATGAAATGTTGGGTTTACAACACGCCAGGTATTTTACAGGAATTGTGGCATCTCAAGGAAGACCCACCCTAATTAACCCGCCTTACAATGGGGAGCTGTGGTTGGTGGCGAGATGCAGTACGACATTCCTCTCTCTTTTTTTCTTTTCCCTCTTTCTCTTGTTACATTTCTTTTTTGTTCATTCAACCCTCACAGCATACTATTTATCTAGCTCTAAAGGTCTAATGTTTGTATTTTGCTGTATATACTTATGACCCTTGGGAGTTTGCATATTTTTCTTTTTATCTTTACTGTTGTAGTAAGGTTATTTATGTAAAATGTGATCATTGTTGGAGAGTACTTCTATTCAGTGTTGATGAGCTTTGCTTGCTCCTTTGGTAATACGGGTTTCTTTCTCCTTTTTCCACTACTGCATGCTAGGACTGTAAGCTGTGAGCTTTGTGTACAGTGATTGTAATTTTTGTTAAAAACCATTAAATCAAATGTTGATTATAGAAAAAAAAAAAAAAAAACAAAAGAAATGTTGGGTTTACATATTCTTTAAACATAAGTGGACAACATGGATGAAAAGGATTGCATACCACTTTTTAGAAACTGGTGCTGGTTTTTAAGGGGTTCTTTATCCACAAGGACAGTTGTAAACCATCTCCCTCAAACAGTAATTGATTAGGCAAATAAAGGCAAGAACTGCTTTCTGATGGAGGGGGGTTATACCTCTCCAACCAGATCAATAACACTGGAATCAAGCAGAGGTTTGTAAGTAATGCTATGCAAACATTTTACCCCCATGTCACCACTGAGCATTGCAGTGATTTTATGATGTTCCAGTTTTTAGCTTGCCTCTATATAGATCGTGGAGTATTGATTTACTAAAACTGGAGAGTGCAAAATCTGGTGCAGCTCTGCATATAAACCAAGCAGCTTTCTTTTATTTTTGTTGTCAAAGCTTAATTGAACAAGCTGAAGTTAGAAGCTGATTGGCTACCGTGCACAGCTGCACCAGATTTTGCACTCTCCAGGTTTTAGTAAATCAAGCCCACTATGCCATTTATTGAACTGATGCAAAATGCATTGCTAAGACATTGATTTATGAGCTAGGTGTGGTTTCACTAACAAAATCTGTACAATGTTGGAGTTGGACTGTACTATACATACTTGCAGCTCGTCACACAGTTTTACAATTTACTTTCTTATTTCAGCATTGCATGTGAATGCAAAAGGCATCAGTTTATACCAGAATACATAAATAACTAGCCCAAAAAAGGCACTGTAATGTGATAGGCAAGTCATTCCCTATATAAATAAATTAGAAATAAAAAGTACAGGACATTAATGTCCATAGCATCAACAATCCTTCCTATATGGTAACAGGATCAATTACCTATCATACATAAAGAGAACATGTGCTTGGCCCAAAGCAACAGGTTCACTTAACCCCTTTGAGCCAACGTCACACAAATATGCCTCACAGAACTGGGCATTTTCCGTGGGGCTGGATATTTGCGTACCTGTCTTTCTGCTGGGAGCAGCACGCTCCCAGCCCAAAGACTGGGGTGTCACTGTGAGAGCCCGGGTCCCGTTCTAACGATCGGGACCCATCACTCTCGATTCTGGGTCACATGATCGCTGTGATAGTCTCTGATTGGCTATCACAGTGATCAGTCACAGTATAGCCTGTCCCTCTTGTTTTTTTTTTCTCTATGAATGGAGGAGAAATGTTACAAACGACCATTAGAACCATTTGTATGAAAATAAAAAATATGCAAAATACATGTGCACAAGGTGTCAATGAATTAAAGTGTTTGTTCACCAATGCCAGAAGTGTGCCAAGCAAAATAGGTGAGTTGGAAGCTTTGGTGCATGAAGAGAACTATGATTTAATTGGTATTGCTGAACCTTGGCTTCATTCTTCACATGACTGGGCCATTAATATTCCTGCCTATGTTCTCTTTCAGAGAGAAAGGGTGAAAAGGAAAGGTGGTGGTGTCTGTCTCTATGTGAGAAGTGATCTCAGAGCGAGAGTGAAAGAGGACCTAGTTGATGGAGAGTGTGATGAGGCTGAAGCATTATGGGTGGAACTGCACATGGGGGTGCGTACTACAAAGGTAATCATTGGAGTTTGTTATAGGCCTCCCAGTGTTAATGAGGAGGTGGAGACTCAGCTCCTTGCACAGATCGAAAGGGCTGGAACAGTGATAACAATGGGGGATTCTCACTACCCGGAAATTGACTGGAGTAATGGCACTGCAGGAACAGTTAAAGAGCAAAAATGTATAAACCTACTACAGGACAAATTTATGGTACAGTTCATAGAGGCCTCAACTAGGAATGCTGCTCTGCTGGACCTGGTAATCTCAAACCATGCAGAGCTTATTACGAATGTCCACATAAAAGAACATCTGGGTAGCAGTGAACATAACATGATTTCATTTATTGTTAGCTGTAAACATCAAGCATATACGGGAAAAATAAAAATGCTCAACTTTAAGAGAGCTAATTTTCCAACGCTGAGAGCTGCTCTCCAAGACTTAGAGTGGAAGGAATATTGGCATTGATGAACATAACACAGAAATGGGAGTTCTTCAAAAAGACTGTATGTGAACACACTGCAAACTATATTCCCATGGGCACCAAGTTTAAACGGGTAAAAATCAAACCTATGTGGCCTATGGCCAAAGTTAAAAAAGCTATAAATAACAAGAAAAGAGCTTCTATTAAATATAAAAATGAAGGAACACTATCATCGTTTAAACATTACAAATAATATAACATAATATGCAAAAAGGAAATAAAGGCCGCAAAAATTGAAAATAAAAGACAGATTGCAAAAGATAGCAGGACGAACCTCCAAAAATTCTTCAAATATATTAATAGTAAAAAGGTCAGGTCTGAGCATGTAGGCCATTTAAAAAATAATCTAGAGTAGGTGACTGGGGACAAAGAGAAGGCAAATTTATTAACTACCTTCTTCAGCTCTGTGTATACAAAGGAGCATGGGGGAGCTCTTGTCCATAATGGGCATGGTATTGACACAGCTCCAGATGATCCACATTGGCTCACAATTGATATTATCCAAAAATATTTAGACCAAATAAAGGTGAATAAAGCACCTGGACCGGATGGCATACACCCACGGGTCCTTAAAGAAATGAGCTCTGTCACTTCAAAGCCATTGCTTTTTGCACTGGCAATTGAACTCTTGGCTATGGCAATCCGCTCCCATCCCTAAATCCATAGCATCCATTGCAGACAACAGGAACATAAATATGCCCTATTTGTCGATTATGTTCTTATGTATTATTATACAGTATTTATATAGCGCTAAAAGGTTTGCTCAGCGCTGTACATTATAGTGGGGGACAGTACATGAGACAATACAGTAACAAAACAATACACGAGGGATTCAAGGGCCCTGCTCTTTCGAGCTTACAATCTAGGAGGAGGGGGATAGTGGTACAGGAGGAAGTGGCTGTGGGGGATGGAGTGTTGGGAGGAGAGAAGGAGATCGGCTGTTAGGTGAGGGTGGGGTAGGCTTCCCTGAAGAGATGGGTTTTCAGGGTGCGCCTAAAGGTGAGGAGGGTAGGTGACAGTCTGAAAGATTGGGGTAGTGAGTTCCAGAGAATGGGGGAAGTCCTGGAGAAGTCCTGCAGTCGGGTGTGGGAGGTGGAGACCAGGGAGCTAGAAAGTAGGAGGTCTTGTGAGGAGCGAAGATTGCGGGTAGGGTGTATATTTGGGTATCAGGTCGGTGAGGTAGTTTGGGGCAGCGTTATGAATGGCTTTGTATGTCTGTGTTAGTAGTTTGAATTTTATGCGTTGGGCAATCGGGAGCCAGTGGAGAGAATGACAGAGGGGGGTGGCAGAAGCGGAGCGGTTGGTAAGGTGGATGAGTCTGGCCACTGAGTTCAGGATAGACTGAAGTGGGGATAGTCTGCGATGAGGTAGGCCAGTGAGAAGGGAGTTGCAGTAGTCCAGACGTGAGATAATAAGGGAGTGAACAAGTAGTTTAGTAGTGTCTGGGGTTAGGAACGAACGTATTTTGGAGATGTTGCGGAGGTGGAGCCTGCATGAGTTTGCCAATGATTGGACATGGGGTTGGAAGGACAGGTTTGAGTCTAGAGTGACACCTAGGACTTTGGCTTATGTATATTACTTCCCCTTTGACAACTATCCCTAATTGTCTATTACATCAATTTTTTGCTCTTTCCGGGCTTTCCCTAAATACCCAAAAAATAACAGCCCTTAATGTTTCCTTACCCATTTCTCAAGAACAGCAGCTTAGAATTTCCTACGATTTTCAGTGGGCAAGTAAGTCGTTGCCCTATTTAGGGATACACTTAACCGCCTCAATTGAGATGCTATATCAAGCTAATTACCCTCCCCTCTTTAAAACACTTAAAGATGATCTTCGCCTTTGGGCTGACTACTCCATATCATGGTTTGGCAGAGTCAACTCGATCAAAATGACGTTTTTGCCCCAAATGCTATACTATTTCCAGACATTACCATTCCGAGACTAGAATTGCAGCATCTACAAGCTGGGGTTCTCCGATTTGTTTGGAACAATAGACGACCTCGTATGAACCAAAAGACATTGTATGCGTCCAGAAAGAGAGGTGGTATTGGCTTTCCTAATCTCCATGCAAATCGTCCAATTGGCTTGCACCACTGCTGGGGGAAATACTCCCCTCTGGGTTTCTATTGAAGCTCTCTCTCTGTCACCCTCTGGCTGTCGGTGCGTTACTTTAGCTTCCTAATCGATTGCTCCCTCCTATATTGTGCCCCACTCTGTCGTTTTGACAGTTTGGGACAGGATACGCCATCGCAAGTCACTGGCATCTCCACATACACCCATAGCTCTGTTTTTTTGCAACCCTGAATTTGAACCTGGATTAACACGTGCCCCTCTCAATGGTGGATCAGTAAAGGTTGAGGCTTGTTGCGGATAGGAGACTATCCTAACGGTGCTTTCATACATTCTCTACAATATTTCAAAGACAAGCTACATATGCCTGCTACTGAAATCTTCAGATATAACCAGATTGTCTCCACTTGAAGCTTACTTTAATTGATTAGTCACCTTTGCTCACCGTCTGTGAACTTTCCTGCCAGAATAGGGATTTCCCCAGAGGCCGTGTCTCCACAGTATATGCTTTCCTCATTGATCCGAATTGTAAACTTCCCTATATGGAGCATTGGGAACGGGATCTAGATGTCAATTACGAATTATTGGATTGGCAGGATATTGCTCTGGCACTATCCAAAATTTCTATAAATACTACCTTAATTGAAGCAAACTATAAAACATTGTTGAGATGGTATTTGGTCCCTACTCGGATTGCGAGGATGCATCAGTCTGCTTCTGCGATATTTTTCCAGCGTTGTTGCCAGGTGGGGTCTATGTATCATATCTGGTGGCAATGTCCGTTTGCAACCAGATATTGGATTCGCATGTTCAATTTTGTCAATTCAGTGACGGTAGTAAATAGTTGCAGATCCCGGAGACGGTGCTCTTTCATAAATTTCCGGATGTTCCCAAGAAGTCCCATAAGTTGATCACCTATGTTTCTGGCAGCGAGAATTACTATAGCTACACATTGGAAGCAATCAGTTATTCTGCTTGACTATGTTAAAAAAAAACTGAATTTGATTATGGCTAATGACAAACTCACCTGTATCCTGCACACTAGTTCGAAAAAATTTGATAACACATGGAACCCTGTGGATTCAATACATCTCTGTGCCTTAATGTCCCTTATCTTGACCTTCTCCTCCACTTTTTTTTTTGCTTTCTCTATTCCTTTTTCTCTATTCTACATTGTTCCTTTTTATGTTTGTTGGGCGAGTTACACTTAACCTCGATTTGTGTTGTAATATGCGTTTTGCCTCAACTGTCAATTGCTTTGTGACAAACTTCATTCTTATTGGGGTCTTATATTTGCATGTACGATAGAACATTATTCATTTGCACTTTTGTTCCCGCCCAAAAATGGGGAAAAATGTCTGTGCGTGTTATGAAGCGAATATGGAGTGGCCGGCCCGGTATTCCCCCTGTCGCCACCGCTGTGTTAGAATACTGGGCCGGCTGTTCGGCTCTTCTGTGCAGCAGAATCTGCTCCTCGGTCCTACCTGTTCCTCGGTCTAGCGGAGTCCTCATCACCGCTGGTTTCACCGGCCGTCTTCTCTTCCTGGTGCCGGCATCTTCAGTGTGAGCACCCGGCTCTGACAGCTTGCGGCTTCACAGCTAGGTGCCCACTGTGCATGCGCGAGAAGCGCTGCGCTTTGTGAATGGCTCCATAGTCTTCTGGGACTTGTCATGTGTCCCAAAAGACTACAGGGAGGGAGAACAACTTCCGCTTCAGATCGCCTAAGTGATCGCAGCAGAAGTGGGAGTGGGTACCTGTCAAATTCGGGTACCAGCTCCCCCTCCCTAAAGGTCTGCAGTCTCTGGTCATCTCCTGTACTATGTCTGCAGTCTCTGATCATCTCCTGTAGTACGTCTGCAGTCTCTGGTCATCTCCTGTAGTACATCTGCAGTCTCTGGTCATCTCCTGTAATATGTCCGCAGTCTCTGGTCATCTCCTGTAGCATGTCCGCAGTCTCTGGTCATCTCCTGTAGCATGTCCGCAGTCTCTGGTCATCTCCTGTAGCATGTCCGCAGTCTCTGGTCATCTCCTGTAGCATGTCCGCAGTCTCTGGTCATCTCCTGTAGCATGTCCGCAGTCTCTGGTCATCTCCTGTACTATGTCCGCAGTCTCTGGTCATCTCCTGTAGCATGTCTGCAGTCTCTGGTCATCTCCTGTAGTACATCTGCAGTCTCTAGTCATCTCATGTGATATCTCTGCAGTCTCTGGTCATCTCCTGTACTGTCCGCAGTCTCTGGTCACCTCCTGTAATATGTCCACAGTCTCTGGTCATCTCCCGTACTATGTCCGCAATCTCTGGTCATCTCCTGTACTATGTCCGCAGTCTCTGGTTATCTCCTAAAGTATGTCTGCAGTCTCTGGTCATCTCCTGTACTATATCTGCAGTCTCTGGTCATCTCCTGTACTATGTCTGCAGTCCACTGGTTCAGAATATTTTTTTTTCTTGTTTTCCTCCTCTAACACCTTGGTGCGTCCTATGGTCAGGTGCGTCTTATGGAGCAAAAAATGCGGTATTTGTTTTTTGTAAAACTATTCAATAAAAACTATTGGAAAAATAAAGATCATATTTAGAGTAGTGGTTAATGATTCATACTCTGAATGGTCTAGGGTTGTCAGTGGTGTACCCCAAGGCTGTATTGGGACCCTTACTTTTTAATATATTTATAAACGATATAGGGTCTGGGATTAAAAATCTAATTTCAGTCTTTACAGATGACACTAAGCTTTCAAGTGGAATAGAGTTCTTACAGGATGTCTCCAACTTACAAGCCGACATCAATGCACTGTTTAATTGGGCAATCATGTGGCAAATGAGGTTTAATGTTGATAAGTGTAAGTTTATGCATTTGGGGGCTAAGAATATGCATGCATCATACATACTAGGGGGGGGGTACAACTGGGGGAATCAATGGTGGAGAAGGATCTGGGAGTTCTGGTAGATCACAAGCTTAATAGTGGTTTTATTTTACCCCTGTACAAATCATTAGTAAGAATCTGGAATATGCAGTTCAATTTTGGGCACCAATTCACAAAAAAGAACATTGGGGAACTGGAGAAAGTACAGAGAAGGGCAACCAAACTGATAAGAGGCATGGAGGAGCTCAGCTATGAGGAAAGATTACAGGAACTGAAGTTATTCTCTCTTGAGAAGAGGAGATTAAGTGGGAATATGATCAACAGTGATTCATATATTGTAGCATTGTTCACCTTGGGGTCATCACAGATGACAAGGGGGCAAGCTTTATGTCTGGAGTAAAAGAAATTTAATCTCCAAATATGGACAGGTTTCTTCACAGTTAAGAGCTGTGAAAACGTGGAATAGACTCCCTCAAGAGTTGGTTCTGGCCAGCTCAGTGGCTTGCTTTAAAAAAGGCCTGAATTCTGATTTTGGATACACACAATATAACTGGATACTAACATTTATAGGTAAAGTTGATCCAGGGAATATCAGGAAGGAATTTTGTTCCCCTGCAGGATCAAATTGGATCATGCTTTGCTGGGGTTTTTTTTGCCTTCCTCTGGATCAACTGTGGGTATATGATTATAGCTTTTTTTTTTTGGTTCGAATTGGATGGACTTTTGTCTATTTTCAGCCAGATTATGTAACTATGTAAAATGGACAAAGGACCATTGACTAAGGGACTTGCGTGCATAAAGCAGAGCACAGGAGTGCAACTAATTTGTACTGCTTGTTACAAATAAACAGAAGTGAGGGAGGAAAAAGTTTATGGAGGACATTACAAAGAGGCAGAAAAACACAGTAATAAATAATTTTATGAAAAAACACAGAGCTATTTGGTAAAGAATGTAGATTATTTTTGGAAAATAGGGATATTGTTTAGTGTCACTTTCACTTTTAGCCGAGGACATGCTGTGCACAACACAAACATCATGCCAGTTATCTATTTTTAACTGACTTCATAATCTATAATGTACAAAACAAAGTAGGAGAAAAAAAAATACATTTGTGCACAAGCCATTACACTAATCTAACACCTACCACATCCATTTTGTCCCAGTACTCATAATCAAGTATCTTTGGTTTTGGCTTTTTGCTCTTTTCTTGTTTCTTTTCATTTGAATCTTTGCTTTTGCTCTTTTTCTTTTTTCTGTAGTCTTTGTTTCTGATAGGTGGCAATGTCTGTAAAAAGAGCATAACATATTTTACTACAGTATATACGTCACAAAAATTGGATTTTTTTCTACATACTTATCTGTAAAATCCATTTTTTGACGTACATCACTGGACACAGAGTAAGCTATTCATGACTAGGTGGGTTATACGCTACCTATAGATGAATGGACACTGGCTGACCAATCAGAGAGGAAGTCCTCCTCTCTACAGTTGCAAGAAAAAGTATGTGAACCCCTTAGGATTCGTTGAGTTTTGCATGAATTGGGCATAAAATGTGCTCTGAACGTCATCTAAGTCACAACAATAGAAGAACACAGTCTGCTGAACATAATGCTACACAAACATTAGATGTTGCCATGGTTTAATTGCACATAACATGTAAACATTCACAGTGCAAGGAGGAAAAAGTATGTGAACCTTTGGACTTAATAACTGGTTGACCCTCCTTTGGCAGCAATAACCTCAACCAAACGTTTCCTGTAGTTGCAGATCAGACCTGCACAATGATCTGGAGTAATTTTGGACCACTCCTCTTCACAAAACTGTTTCAGTGTAGCAATATTCTTGGGATGTCTGGTGTGAATCGCTCTCTTAAGGTCATGCCACAGCATTTCAATCGGGTTGAGGTCAGGACTCTGACTGGGCCACTCCAGCAAGCGTATTCTGTGCTGTTACAGCCATTGGTTTGTTGAATTACTTGTATGCTTTGGGTCATTGTCCTGTTGCATCACCCATCCTCTGCGGAGCTTCAGTTGGCAGACAGATGGTCGTACGTTTTCCTGCAAAATGTCTGATAAACTCTGGAATTCATTTTCCCATCAATGACAACAATCCGTCCAGGCCCTGAAGCAGCAAAGCAGCCCCAAACCATGATGCTCCCTCCGCCATGTTTTACAGTGGGGATGAGGTTTTGATGTTGGTGTGCTGTGCCATTTTTTCTCCACACATAGTGTTGCGTGTTCTTCCCAAACAACTCAATCTTGGTTTCATCTGTCCACAGTATATTTTGCCAGTAGTGCTGTGGAACATCCAGGTGCTCTTTTGCAAACTTCAAACGTGCTGCAATATTCTTTTTGGACAGCAATGGCTTCCTCCGTGGTGTCCTCCCATGTACTCCATTCTTGTTTAATGTTTTCCTTATTGTAGATGTGTCAACAAAAATGTTAGCATGTGCCAGAGATTTCTGTAGGTCTTTAGCTGACACTCTGGGATTCTTCTTTACCTCATGTAGCATTCTGCTCTTGCAGTCATTTTTACAGGACGACCGCGCCTAGGGAGAGTAGCAACAGTGCTAAACTTTCTCCATTTGTAGACAGTCTGTCTTACCATGGACACATGAACATCAAGGCTTTTGGAGATACTTTTGTAACCCTTTCCAGCTTCATGCAAGTCAACAATTCTTGATCGTAGGTCTTCTGAGAGCTCTTTTCTGCGAGGCATGGTTCACATCAGACAGTGCTTCTTGAAACCAGTAAACCCAAAACAGGTGTGTGTTTTTTTTAAGGGCAGGATAGCTGTCAGCAACACATCCAATATCATCACACTGATTGGAGTCAAGGTTGGCTCACTCCTGGCTCCAATTAGCTCTGGGAGAAGTCATTAAGCTAGGGCCTCACATACTTTTTCCTCTCTGCACTGTGAATGTTTACATGTTATGTGCAATTAAACCATGGCAACATCTAATGTTTGTGTAGTATTATGTTCAGCAGACTGTGTTCTTCTATTGTTGTGACTTAGATGACGTTCAGAGCACATTTTTATGCCCAATTCATGCAAAACTCCACGTAATCCCAAGGGGTTCACATACTTTTTCTTGCAACTGTATAACCCCTCCTACACAGGAAGTACTTTTGTAGGAAGCAATGAAATTCCAGAAAGAGGGACGGGAACTCTGTGTCCTGTGAAGTACTCCAAGAAATGGATTTTACAGGTAAGTATGTAGAAAACAAAATCCAGTTTTCTTTATCGTACATCATGGGACACAGAGCAGGCTAGTCATGACTATGTGGGATGTCCTAAAGCAGTAAAAAAATTTGAGGGGAAGGTGACACCATGATAGCCACCATTAACAATCCCTCAGGACCTATAAACCGTCCCTAAATCACTGCGGCCAAAGGCAGAATCCTCTGTGGCTCTTTGACATCCACCTGGTTGAACCTTGTGAATGTGTGAACCGAAGACCATGTAGTAGCCTTGCAAACCTGAGCCACTGACGCCAAATGCCCCCACACTCTTGGTAGAGTGTTCCTTCACCTGAAAGGGTGGGAACTTACCTTTCAAACCATAGGCTTCAATGATCAATTGGCAGATCCAATGTGAAAGTCGCCTTGGATGCCTCCTACCCTTTGCTAGGCCCCTCAGATAGCACGAACAGAGCATACAACCTCCTGACCTGTGCCATCATCTTCAAGAAGACCCTTACAGAGTGTATCACATCCAAGGTATGCAGAGATCTTTCTCTTGCTGACTGAGGCCCATGAGAGAATGAAGGCAGAACGATGTCCTGATTGAGATGAAAACTAGAAACCACCTTTGGTTGAGGTTGCAATAACACCTTATCTTGATGCAAAACCAGACATGGTTCTCTGCAAGAAAGAGCTGCCAGCTCCAACACCCTTTTCGCAGAAGTGATTGCCACTAGAATCAAAATCTTATGAGTTGAGGACCAGTGGGATCTCCCTAATAGGTTCAAAACCTCCAAAACCAAGTTCAGGTCCCAAAGACACAAAGGTATCCTGACAGGAGGAGCAATACACATTAATCCTTGTAAAAAAGTGTGAACCAAAGAGTGAAACGCAATGGGCCTGTGGAAAAAAAACAGCTAATGCTGAAACCTGGCCCTTAATGGTACCAACAGCCTAATTTCTTCTCCAACCCTGACTGAAGAAACTTCAGAATCCTACCAAGTTCTGTAATAAATAGTGGTGCACCAAAATGAAAATTCTGGTGCTGAAACAAAACATTCAGGATGCTCTTGGGCAAAAACTGAAACCAAATGATTAAAAAAACCACACAATATATACCCCAATTTTTTTGCAAAATATGAAAGATGATGTTATGCTGAGTAAATAGATGCCCAACATGTTATGCTTTAAAATTGTGCACGCTCGTGGAATGGCGTCAAACTACGGTAATTAAAAATTTCCATGAGTGACGCTTTAAAAATTTCTACAGGTTACCAGTGTAAAGTTGCAGAGGAGGTCTAGCACTAGAATTATTGCTCTTGCTCTGACATTTGTGGCAATCCTCACGTGCGGTTTGAACGCTGTTTACATATGTGGGCGTGGCCTACATATGCGTTCACCACTACATGCGACCACGGGGGACGGGAGCACTTTAAACTTTTTTAAAAATTATTAATGAACTTATTTATTTTACATTGTCCCTTTAAAAAAAAATGTAATCACTTTCATTTCTATCACAAGGAATGAATGCATCCCTTGTGATAAAAGTAAGCAGTAACAGGTCCTCTTTATAGAGAGATATGGGATCAATAAGACCCCACAGCTCTCCTCTACAATGTAAAGCATTAGATCAAAAAAAGAATTGATCTAGTGCTTTAAAAAAAAAAATGGCCTTGTTTACAAGGCGCTGTAACCAGAAGTAACATCCCTCTGGTCCTCCAAGGGCATAGAGATGAGTGGAGGCCATATTTCCTTCAGTTATCTCTATGCCCATCGCTGGGATCTTTCGGTGATTTCTCAGGTAAGGCTGAGAACTACCTAGGGGCGGCGGGTGGTGGCAGTGGCGGTGGCAAGGGGTCGGGCTTATTTTCTGCACCTGTATCGGTGCTTATTTTGATATCAGCCAACGGCCGATAAGGGTATTTTCGGCTGAAACGTTGGCCCACCGAACTTTCGGTGCACCTCTAGTAATAAATATTCCTAGAGACTACTTTTCTAGCACTCAGCATAAGGGGGATGACGGAATCCGACAGTCTCAATAGCCATGCCATCAAATTCAACGACCGTAAAGCTGAGTGCAATATAGGTCCTTGAGCCAGCAGGGTTGTCAACTGCCTCACTATGTCTGCGTACCAAGCCCTCCTTGGCCAGGCTGGGCAATCAGTATCACAGGAACGGATTCCACCCAAATCCTGCATAAGAGATGTGGCAGTAGCTGAATTGGAAGAAAAGCATAAATCAGAGAAAGCTGGTTCCAAGGAATCACTAAGGCATCTACCCCTGCCGCACGAGGGTCCCTTACCCTGGACACAAAATGATCGACCTTGTTGTTGAACCTGGATGCCAACAGATCTATGTCCAGGTAACCTCATCACTGGCAGATTGTCGCGAAAACTTTGGGATGCAAAGCCCATTCCCCTGGAACCATTTGTCAGTGACTAAGACAGTCTGCCTACCAATTCTCTACACCCAGAATGAATACTCCTGATAAAACTTGGAACATATCTTTCTGCCCATGTCAGAATGTAATTTACCTCCTCCTGAGCTCTTTGACTCCTGATACCGCTCTGGTGGTTTATGTATGTCACTACTGTGGCACTGTTGGACTGAATTATTAGCAGAATTATTTTTTTCAAACTTTTCGGTCTTTTTTTGTTTATAGCACAAAAAAAAAACCCAGAGGTGGTCAAATACCACCAAAAGAAAGCTCTATTTGTGTGAAAAAATTACATAATTTCATCTATGCACCATATTGCATGACCATGCAATTGTCAGTTAAACTAGCGCAGCGCTGTATAGCAAAAAATGGCATAAATTGCAGTATCTATATATCTATACCATAGTTTGTAGATGCTATAGCTTTCACACAAAGCAATCAATATACACTTATTGGGTTGTTTTTTTTTTTTTACCAAAGATATGTAGCAGAATACATTGTGGCCTCAATTTATGACTAACCTTGAGTTTACTATATATTTCTTATAGTCAAAAGTAAAAACAATATAGTTTTCTTTTCAACATTTTCGGTCTTTTTTTGGTTATAAAACCCCAAGAGATGATCAAATACCACCAAAAGAAAGCTCTATTTATGTGAAAAAAGGACATAAATGTAATTTATGTACAGTATTGCATGACCGCGCAATTGTCAGTTAAACTAGCGCAGCTCTGTATAGCAAAAAATTGTGTAAATAGCAGTATCTATACCATAGTTTGTAGACGCTATAACTTTCACACAAAGCAATCAATATACACTCATTGGGATTTTTTTTTTTTTTTAACAAAAACACGTAGCAAAATACATTCTGGCCTAAATTTATGCCTAACTTTGAGTTTACTATATATTTTTTTATAGCCGAAAGTAAAACATATCGTTTTTTTTTTCAAAATTTTCAGGGTTTTTTGCACAAAAAAGAAAACACACAGGTGATCAAATACCACCGAAAAAAAAGCTTTATTTGTGCGAAATACATTTTGTTTCGGTACATCATTGCATGACCATGCAATTACCAATTGAAATAGCGCAGTGCCGAATAGCAAAAAAAAAAACCTGGTCAGGAAGAGGGGTAAAGCCTCTGGAGGGCAAGTGTCTAAGGAACCCCCAGCAACCTCTGGAGGAACCCTGGTTGAGAAAGGCTGTTTCCAAATGGATGTACCTATGATACAAAAGTATATTGTTTCAGTACTCACCCCTTCACTTACACCAGTCTCCTTTCTCAGAGTGTCATCTTTTTCTTTTATATCCTTTTCCCAGCTCTCCAATTCTCTCATGAAATCTTGAAGCTCTTCTGCATTTTGTCTCATTTGTAACTGCAACTCCAAAGCTTTATTCGGAGAAGACATGGTGGATGGTGGCAGACTCAACAAAAAGAATCCTTGGCAAAAGAAAACAATTAAACATACCATTTGGTTAGAAGTTTTGAATTTGTCAAATTAATTTCATGTTTATATTAGCAACTCCTTAAGCCAGCTTACGTGTTCAGAAAAACCGAGACAATCATAATGGTTCTCAGTACTAGAACTGCATACGGATTGCTACTATGTGCAGTGCCAGCGATTAAGTACACATAGGTAAGCGCAGCCTTTGCTTTAATGCATTCACATGGGCAAAAAATAAAGTTTTATGCAGGCTATACATGGGTCGAATTCCCAACAATTTTTCCTTAGAAAATCAGAAATTTTGTGCGTTCTATAATCCAATGGTGCCACCACTGATTTCGAAATTCAACCAACCAAGCCTTCAATTTCTCCTCATGTTGCTACAGAAAAGAATTTTCATTTCTTTCCAGGTCCCAGCTTTATATTTCTTGCATTATTCTCCCATCATTGATTTGAAATTTGTTTGTTTTTCAAAAAATTCCAACATTCCCGATCACTCAAATTCGATGGTCACACGAAAATTGGCCGTTTCTGTGACCCACTAATGGTGTGAAATTGGAACAAAAATTCTTAGAAAAGATTTTCAAAAGAAAATTCTTTTGGAATTCGACCCATGACCCATGTAGGGGGCAGGTTCACGCAGGGGGGAGGCTGGCACTGTAGGCTGTGTGAAAAGCAATTGGGTAGCAGTGCAGCTGCCCGAATGCTTTCAACTGACAGGTGAGTCTTGCTGCTTGCCCGCAGCATGGATAAAAGTTAAAAAAATACCTGCCCGGCACCCTGGAACTACAGGTCCCAGGCATCGGGCGATATAAATTCAACATCCCTGGGAATAGATCCCTCTGTAGCCATATGCAGTGAGATGTCACTGTGTTGCTGTCCTCGATGCTGCTAAATCTCAATTGCTAGTGATGGGAGCAACATCTCACTGCCTGAGCTACAAAGGTAGCAATTTCCTATGGACAATGAGGCAGACTCTTAGCAATCCTGTCGCTGGTAACTTTATTTAACAACTATAAAGTAGATGTGACCCAAATTTGTCTGCCAAAGTGACAATGCAATCTAAAGGCATAGTCCACCTTTGCCAAAAAAAAGCACTTATACTGATTAATAAAGAGGTGCATTTATCTATTTTTTACACTGGAGCCACTTGCAATCAGTGGATTAAGAGTACAATTCTCTGGCTATTGCGGATTATCAGAATATTCCTCCAGGTCCGTACCCTTGGAGAATACAGCACACACAATGCATGTCACCCCTGAGCACTGTGGTAGTTCATCATATCTGCTGGCCCATACATCCTGTGGTGGTGAAAGCGGCGGCTACAGCTCAACTGTGCACCTGAATGGGTTGTGTTTGGCAACAATACTGATGCCGAATGCAACAGGGGTATAATTTCTCTCTTAGCATGTGAATAGCCCATCCTGGTACCTCTGCAGCTTAAGGGGGGGGGGGGGTCTTAAAGTCACAGCTCAACCACCTTTTTTTTTTTACTCCCCCCAAAACTGCAAGGGAAAACTGGTTCTGATTTCTGGGTGTGCTCTCCTCCAACAATGTGAGGTTCAAGCTCCCTGCCGGTATCATGCCCTTTTACTCTTCTTCCCAGTCTGCTGTCTTCTTGCTTGACCCATTGAGCAGACACTGATGATGTAACGTCTGTGCATGCACTCTGGAGTAACATTAAAACCTAAACCCTCCAATCCATTGCAGCCAGTGAAGCTGCCATGTCAGCCTTTGCATGTTCTGCAGTTGCCATGGTGCTGCACATGTGCTCAGTTTGTACACCAGTCAGTTGATGGCTTGACAGTTCCTTGCAGAGCTAACATAAGCACACTGGTAACTGTAACAGTTATAATTCAAGACATATCTTGAATTTACCTGTTTTGGAAAATAGTTAAAACGGAAGTAAACCCTTCACTGAAAAGGATACTTTTCAGTGAAGGAAGCTGCCACCTTACCCTCTGTTTGATCTGCAATTTCCATGGTGCTGCACGTGATCAGTTATGACCTCAGCCATTTGGTGGTTTGACAGTTTGGTTGACAGCACAAGCAAATGTGACAGTTAGCATTTCCAGGATGCTAAGAATGTAATTGTTTTTTGAAACAGGTAGGCCTTGTTCACACCATGGTGCAGAGATGTCAGTTTTTCTGCACGAGTTCTGCGAGAGCAAAACAAAGTCAGCTGTGCCCTGTTCACACCATAACACTAGTATCACAGGAATCTGCAATGTGTATAAAAACTCATTGATTAGTGCATTAAAACTGATGTAAAACTGATGTCTCTGCAAGTGAAATCTGCGTGTCAGTTTCCATTAGTTCTTCTGCACATATTATGTGAACAAGGCCTCAAATCGATGGGTTTAGTTTCACAAAGCAGATACGGATAATTGTCACATTTGCTTGTGCACACAAACGACCTGTCAAACCATCAAACGGCTGGTGTCATAACCAATCACATGTGCAGGACCATGGCAACAGAAGATAAAACAGAGGCCAAGACTGCAGCTTCCTTGGCTATAAAGGAGAGAAGGGATTAGGTCCACTTTAAGAAGCTGGGAATGTACGATGTACTATGCATACGTCGCAGCCAGTGTGCAGATTAAAAGAATTTGCTAGCAGGCAAGTAGAGGGTTTTTTTTTTGGCAAAAAGTCCACAAAAAGTTGATGAGGTGCTACAACTTTGAAAAATCATAAGGCATATAAAAAAGCTACACGTGTGTCCAGACTATAGACTCTGAAACTGTCAAGAAATCATCAAAACAAAAAGGTTGCCATCACCGTATTATTGCTTTTAAAATCTTCTTTATTGTGATCCCTCAGGAGTTGCATGATCCCACAAAAGGAAAGTATTGATATGTTTCAGCCCTGGTGGGCTTTAGTCATAAGGGGGTTTGTTTACTAAATCTGGAGTGCAAAATCAGGCTAATTTCTGCATAGAAACCAGTCAGCTTCTAACCTTAGCTTGTTCAGTTAGGCTTTGGTAATAAAACCTGGAAGCGGATTGGTTTCGATGCAGAAGTTAGCCTGATTTTGCACGCTGCTGCTTTAGTAAATAAACCCCAAAGCATCTAAAGCCTCAGTCACATGGCCAGCGCATTGTTGCAGCTGGAATGACAGGTGTATGAGGAGAGCTGTGGCCACTCAGCCTGTACAAAGCAATGGAGAATGCCGCTGCTGTTCACGTGTCCACACATCCATTGGTTACCTGCAGATGTTCAATCCCTGGATTCACATAGCTGCGCCCAGGGTCAGATATCTCTCCCTAAAGCAAGGTTGTCATTATGCATTTTTTAGTGCGTTTTCAGATCTGTACAATTATGGAAACACCAGGTAAAAGAGCAAAATTGTTACCCAATATGGTGTTGGGCCACCTTTGGCATCCAAGATGGCCTTAATTCTCCTGGGAATTGACAAATATGAGTCTTGGATGGGGGATAATGGAATCCGATACCACTTACCTCACACAGAGCCGCCTGAGGTAGAAAGTGGTTGAGAACCTTGTTCTCCAAACCTGACCTTAGTGACTGTATGATATTGAGGCCCGGCGACTGTGGCGCACAGGGAAGGTGTGAGACTTCATCTGAATGCTCGTCAAACCAAAATTTGACAATGCCAGCTGTGTGAATCAGAGTATTATTTTCTTGGTCAATGGCGCTATCTTCAGGAAACAATGTCTACACCATGGGGTGCATATGGTTGGCCAAAATTTGTACATAGTTGCTGGCAGGGACTCTACCATTCAAGGTGATGATGGGGCCTGCAGAATACCAAGATATGGCTGCCCAAACCATGGTTGTGCCGCCACCATTCTATACCATTGGCACAAGACAGTCCTGGTCGTAATCTTGGGATAATGTTTGCCACACATAAACACATCCAGTGGTTGGGAACAGTGTGCAGCTCGATTCATTGGACCATATTACAGTCTTCCTTGGTCGATAGTCCACCATTTACAGGTTTTGCCCCGCTCTCATCTTCTGAACATTATTATTGGTCACTGGTGGTTTGGCAATTACAGCTTGCCTGTGAATGTTTTGCTTACGGAGTTTCCTCCGCACATTTTTTGTGGACACAGGCTTTGCGAGACTGAGCTCTGCGATCACTTTTGCAGCAGTAGTTTTCTTATTCCGGGTCACAATCCTGCACAATGCCCTTTTGTCTCTTTCAGTCAGTTGACCATGTCGGCCATGCTTATGCTTATTAGATGACGTTTCCTGGAAACTATATAAGCCATCATAACGTGATACTGTACCTCATGACACAGCAAATAAATTGGCAACTTCAATCACAGAGGCACCAGCTAAGAGGGCACCAACAGTTTACCATTTGTGAAGCTCTGTAAGCTCGAACAGGACTCCGTATTACTAGGCTATTAGCTAGGTGTCTCATCATCACACATCACATTGTACAAATCATTAGTAACACCTCATCTGGAATATGCAGTTCAGTTTTGGGCACCAATTCACAAAAAAAATATTGGGGAACTGGAGAAAGTGCAGAGAAGGGCAACCAAACTGATAAGAGGCATGGAGGAGCTCAGCTATGAGGAAAGATTAGAGGAACGGAATTTATTCTTTCTTGAGAAAAGGAGATTAAGGGGGGATATGATCAACATGTATAAATACATCAGTGGTTCATATAGTGAACTCGGTGTAGAGCTATTCACCCTGAGGTCATCACAGAGGACAAGGGGGCACTCTTTAAGTCTGGAGGAAAAGAGATTTAATCTCCAAACACGGAAAGGTTTCTTCACAGCGAGAGCTGTGAAAATATGGAATAGACTCCCTCAAGAGTTGGTTCTGGCCCTCTCAGTGGATTGCTTTAAGAAAGGCCTGGATTCTTTCTTAGATACACAGAATATAACTGGATACTAACATTTATAGGTAAAGTTGATCCAGGGAATATCTGATTGCCTCTCGGGGGATCAGGAAGGAATTTTTTCTTCTACAGGAGCAAATTGGATCATGCTTTGCTGGGTTTTTTGCCTTACTTTGGATCAACTGTGGGTGTAGGATTATAACTTTTTTTTTTTTTATTGGTTGAACTGGGTGGACTTTTGTCTTTTTTCAGCCAGGCTAACTATGTAACAATAGAAGCCAAAGAATGTTACATCACTTCCGCTTTCAATGTGAAACAGCATCAATTTCACATCTGCAAATCATGTAGTGTTTTCATTTTTCTTGTGTAACCCTTGTAAATTGGCTGATGGACTTTTTATGTTTCAAACATTCTTTAATTGGTGAAATTCTTCATTGAGTGCTTCACTTTGGAAACATCAACACATAGCTTGTCAGAGGCCAAGACTAAAAAGCATCAGAAACGTGCATTGAAAAATGCTAAACGCACTGGAAGATGCGTCAGAAATGCAGCAATTGCACATGTGTAGATGCAAATCGAAACACAGGATGCGCAGATACATGCAAATGCTGGACAGCAGCGCCTTCTGTCTGCCTATCATTGCTTTGTACAGGCTTTGGTTGCAGCTTTCCACACACACCTCTCATCCCAGCCGCAACAATACGCAAGCCATGTGACTGAGGCCTTCTAAAATATCAAAGACTCATTATAAATTTTCTTTTAGTTTTTTTTTTTTCACATTAAATAATAAAATAAACATCATGCCCAACAAAGCAGTGCAGAGCATGCTGGCTGTATGTAGGAGTATTCCTCTCCACTGCTGATCGCCATTACTGGAGGCAGGCAAGCTCCTTTCATTCTCCAGGGATCCCTCAACACCCTCCATTCGGGGTTTCTTTCATCCCCAAACCCACATGATCCTTGTACTGCTTTCACCTACCTGCAGCTTCCACACCTCGGCTCCTCGCTTCCTATACACGGTCTCCCAGCGTGCCCCGCGCCACTACCGTCACCATGGAGACGCTTCCCCCATTCCCGAAAGCTGGCGGCGTGAACCCCCCCAGCACTGATATCTCGTTCATTATTTTCTTTTGCTGAAGAATTATCTATTTTTAGACAGTAATCCTGGCACATTATTAATAATTACATCTATCTTTTGGGCTTCCCTTTCTGCCCATAGGAAAGATGGCTGCGATGGACTCGATGACGTAAGAGCACTCGCCAGGGCAGCTTCTAGTGACGTGCCATCATGGCGGCCACCTGTCCAGATGGGGGCATGAGACAGCTGTAAAGGTGACAGAGGGGCCCCATGGAGGAAGACAGGTCAGCAGATGCAGGACGCGGGTACCCTGTGTTCCCAGAGAGACAGAGCTGGGAGAACAAGAGGGAGGCACACAGCCCAGCCATGTCCAGGTGTCACAAGATGCTGGATTTTACCTTGGAGACAAGTATGGGACCCACTTCCAGCATGATTGCTAATATATTATATATGTGTTGTATGGTCCTCTTCAAGTCTATGTCCAGACATACATTTTTCAATAGGGAAAAGGGGTTAGAATCATCACCAGGTTTATACTGCCCCGTTAGAGAGATTTCTCCTCACTTCCCGTCCTGCTCACCACTTTTTACGTGACAGGAAGTTAGGGAAAATCCTATTGAATAGACATAGCTCCCATCTGTCCCCCATTTCGAGGGACTGTCCCTGATTTGGAACAAAGTCCCTCCCTCCTCCTCATGTGTCCCTCATTTTGGGCTGATCTATACAGTTGTATATAAAACACACTATTTATCCATCAAAACGTGTTTCACAGCGTTAAACCTTTCATCCATTTTCTAAATTGCTGCATTTGTAAGTTTCAAAAGCCAATACTAAGGAAATAGTAGTGGTTAAAAAAAAAACACTTGTGGGTTTCACTAATCATTTTTTGTATAAGTCACTGGTCACTCCGCTGCGATTTCTGAAGACTTTATTGCGACTGGTGAAGATTTTCAACAATTTCTTGTGATTTTTGTTTTGGGATTTTCCATTATTTCCATATAGGTGAAATCGCAATAAACTGTAGAAAAAGTAATGCAAGAACTATTTTAGAAATCACACTGCAGCAAATCGCATATTAAGACACTGACATTTATTAGATGTGACTTCAGGTGTGATTTCAATTTGTAAATTGCACTAGAAATCTCACCAGTATAACTGGGCACTAATTCTCCTTTAAGGGGGTGTGACAGGGGTTGTGTCCTATGCCTACATACTTTTGCTAATAGGTGTCCCTCATTTCCATCTCAGAAAGATGGGAGGTATGAATAGAGTGTAAAGGGATTAGAACATTTGTCAGGATTTTATAACTGTCTGTGTCCCTGTTAAGGAGATTCACCCTTTTCTTTTTGTCCTTAAAGCAAAAGAAATCTCAAATTCTGAGCTGTCATCAAAACATAAATGAAGTAGAAACCTTCCAACGAGGACACTGTTTTTGGTGACAACCCGGGATTGCCTCACTTTGAAGGGATTTTCTTTCATTTCCTGTTGTGGATATGGGAAAGGAAGTGGGGTAGGTGGATGCATTCTTCACATGGATGCAGAGCATGAGAGCTAAACAAAAACAAAAGAACATTTCCTGACTTAAAAAAAAAACAAACACACAAAAACTTACACTTTTGGCAACCAAATGTTATATATTTTGCTCTCTTGAAGTAGCAATGGTCATTTCATTTTTTTCTTTCAGGCCTTGTACACACAGGCTTCTTTTTGTATAAAGGCATTGTGCACAGCAAGCTTTAACAAAGCATTTTAAAGGTTTTCTGCAAGCTTTGAGTAGTTTTCAAAGAAACTTCTAAGGCAAGCATAATGGAAGTTTTGGCTGTGACGTTAAATACAAGATACTACCTGGCTTCTGCAGGCTTTCAACAAGTAGTGCTGAAGTTTCTGAATGCTTTGGATGCAAGCTGCTTCCAGGGGTTATCATCTGTCTCTAACTGCAGGTAATCACTCCATGTGCAATTACATCTGAACACTGGTGAACTGCTGTGGCTTCTGTCAGCCTATCATTCATCAGGCTGAGCAGCTGCAACTATCTACATCCACCTGTAAATATGCCTGCAGGAATGTTCTGGATTCTTGCAACAGCTGGCACTAAAATCTCATGTGAATAAGGCCTCAGGCCCTTTTCAAGCGGGGTGGATTCTGTTCCGATCAGCAGGGGATCCATGAGCTGCTCCCCCGATGAACAAGCATTTGCCACACAGTGGGGTTTATTTACTAAAGCTGGAGAGTCCAAAATCAGACTCCCTTCTGCATAGAAACCAATCAGCTTCTAACCTCAGCTTGTTCAATGAAGCTTTGGCAATGAAACCTGGAAGCTGATTGGTTTCTATGCAGAAGGGAGTCTGATTTTGGACTCTCCAGCTTTAGTAAATAAACCCCAGTGTGTCTGCTCAGTATCTGCAGAGTGTGCACTGGCAGAGCCTGCTCTGCACTATTGGAGCTGTCTGTTTACACCCTGCTACCTCTGATCTGTTCCACCTAAATGGAAGAGGATGAAGTCCCCTCCTGTTTTGTTTTAGCAAGCCTGCTCAGAAGTCCATTTACACCCTCCTGTCCATAGGGATAAATGGACCTTTCAATCAGGTCAGTATGAAAAACAGAAAGGTGGACCTGATCAGACCGCCTGCCTGCCTGAAAGCGGGCTTAAAGAGTATGTAAAGCCAAATTTTTTTTTTTTTTTCTTTTCTCTTTAGTTTTGGACAGAGTGGCATATGGTTAGAGTTGACAGACAACACAATTCAGGGGTTATGCACAAATCCCACTTCATTGGGACTTTTTTAGGCAAAAAGAATCCGGGTGGGTGGTTATGCCTGGATTTCCATTTTTTTTATGAGCTGCAGTTAAACGTTTGCTAAGTTAAGTTGGCTAGTACCTGTACAACCTAACATGTGGATTTAGTCACTCCTATGCTTTCACTCTATACAAACTAGTTATCCCTGGAACCTGTTGGGGCTTCATGAGGCAGTGAAGAGCTACCACGCTACAGCAATCATTAGATTGATCCAGAAGTTTTAAGTGCTTAAGTGAAAGACCCCTTTTCATTTACCTAATACAAGTCAGTATTGCCAGAATACTGCATATTATGTCATACATTTAGATATTATTTTTGTTGTTCATTAGGTCCATATGCCAAGTTACTTTTAGATGCCATGAAACAATCTGGCTGGTAAGTCACTTAAGTTAAATACACAAATTGGTGTAAAACTGTCATGGGTTAATAAGACTTGACTTAATAACATCACCAAAAGCAGTGATAAGCATTAATACATCAGAAATCATAATTTATTAAAACTGCAATTTTTTATTGCTTACAACTATTGGCTTCTTTAGACTGAGTGAACTTTATTGCAGTTTGATCAAATAATGCTGATAGTGTTTTAATGTGCTTGAGAATACAATGGCACACATTTAGTGTGTGTATCTTTAAAATTCTTAACTATACTATAGATAATTTATTGACTCTGAATGAAGATGTCATATTATATATGAGAATGGCAGACCTAGCACTTTTTCCAAATTTTCTCATTCAAAAATGTCATAAAACATATAGCTCTGGTAATAGCTACTTGAATAGTGCTTAGAAAAATTCATATTCCACAACATCACATCAGAAAATGTCTAATAACCAATTGTTTTACACTTTTCAGCGCAGTTTCCAAGGACAGACATTTTGCTTGTGAAGACTGCCAAGGGTCAGTAAGTGGAGGTTTTGATGCAGAGACTTCTGAAGTAAGTGAAAGTCTTAAAGCCTTCGTACTTAACAATAAGCCAAGGATGCTACCAGAAAATGTGAGAAAATACCTGGTACAGACACTTGGTAAACATGCATACAGAGTTGTCATTTCTTGTAAACACATTTTTATCCAATAAAAGGTGTTGTGCAGCCGATGTGACATTTCTATGGAGATAACATACTTTGCATTGGTTTGAAGTTTTCTGCTGATCTTTTTATAATTTACTTCTGCATTGGGACACATGCTTACAAACATACTAAAAGTGAACTCTGGGCAGATTTAAAAAATTATGTATATCATAATCCATTCAACAAAAAGAATAATTTAAAGAGGATCTGAACTGTGTAAGCTGTGCTAAAAAAAAGACAAACAGAGGAAGAGTCACTAGTGTTGGCTATCATTTCCTTATTGCTGATTTTTTTTTTTTTTCCCCCCCATTACTGACTTAACAATGCCTCCTTGGATTTGGGCTTCTTTTCCTCCGTCAGAATAGCTCCCCTAATTAGTGATCTGGTCACTTGTTGGGGAATATTCAAGATGCAGCAGAAGAGGTGGATGAAGAAGGCATGTGTGGGGTTTTTTTTTTTTTCCATTGACATATGCTTCAAGTTTGCCCATTTATATTGAAGTGGCTGCCAGTGAACCGCAATGCACAAAAAGCTGGATATTCACCATTTTGTTTCCATCTATGTGTTATGGTGCATTAAAATGAATATGCATTAAGGTGCATTGGGGTGCCAATCCGAATGAATAGTATGGTGCTGCTGATTCAGCGAGGTACAGGTGTGAAGCCAGCAATTCGATGCCTTGACAGTTTGGATGAGAGATAATATAAGCACAATAATAACTAACAGTTATAGTTCACAGCATTCCTTGAATTGGGAAACCGTTAAATAGGTGAGTTTAATTCTGCTTTAAAGTTGAACTAAACGCATTGATTTAACAGTTTCAGAAAACAGGAATACTAACTGTCACATTTGCTTGTGTTCTTAGCCAAACTGTCAAACCATCAAATGGCTGGTGTCATAACTGATCACATGTGAAACACCATGGCAGTTGAAGATCAAACAAAGGCTAAGATGGCATCTTCTGTGGCTGAAAAGGATAGGAGGGTTTAGTTCCGTTTTAAAACGGAACTAAACCCATCGATTTAACCGTTTCAAAAAGACAGTTACATTCCTGTCACATACCAGGGATGTAACTAGTCACAGTGAGGTACTGGTGTGAAGCCAGCAATTCGTTGTCTGGACCGGTTGGATGAGAGATAACATAAGCATACTAATAACTGTAACAGTTATAGTTCACGGAATTCCTTGAATTAGGAAACCATTAAATTCTTGTTTAATTCTGCTTTAAAGTTGAACTAAACCCATCGATTTAACAGTTTCAGAAAACAGTTATATTCCCGGCATCACATGAATGCTAACTGTCACATTTGCTTGTGTTCACAGCCAAACTGTCAGACCATCAAATGGCTAGTGTCGTAACTGATCACATGTGCAACACCATGGCAGTTGAAGATCAAACAGAGGCCAAGATGACAACTTCCTTGGCTAAAAATGACCGTAGTAGACCAATGTGCAATGTTTGAAAACAGGAGAGGATTAGTTGCTGAACATTGCTTTATTACATGCTTGTATGCATTTAATCTTTTGTTTGAACACTTTAACTGAAAATCGTTCCATACAAAAACTTTGCATGGAAGCATGCATGTAATTACCCTTTATTCTCTACCCATACAGATTGTGTTGTGTCAGAATAATATACACAGCCAAGCCCATATGAACAGAGTGGTTACACATGAGTTGATTCATGCTTTTGATCACTGTCGTGCTCATGTTGACTGGTTTAACAATGTACGGCACTTAGCCTGCTCAGAGGTATGTATTTTTCCATAACTGAACACTGTAAAGCAAATATTTTGATGATCAGGATATTATAGTGTTATAATTTCATTGCATGGAACCAACATTAGTCTATGTATTTTAAGAGATTCACAGTAGTCTATGTAAGAACATGTATAGTGTGAATCCAACCCAAACTGACATCACCATTATATGTAGATGCCAGTGGATGATGTTAATCCCAGACTAAAACTCTCTGGAATGATATTGTGAGGCACCCTCAAGATCAGAGATTCAACATGTACTAGTAGCTTGTGATCAGCCAGTTGACATGGTAGCAACTGTAACTCTTCAGGAGAACTCTTAGTTCCAAGAGTCATCAGCAGACATAATACTTAAAGATGATTAAGGCAGGAAATCAGCATCTTTGACATGTAAGCAAGCATAATTTTAATAATTTGAGACTCAGTATTGGATTAGTAAAATTGTGGCTAGTTGCTGATCAATATTGTCCACTGTTCCCAGCTGTGTTAGTCATAGTAGTATATGAGTTAAGGAACACAAATGATGAGCATAAAACCCAGCAAGATGCATAACCCATCAGATTTAGCAAAAATTGACCAACCCTATTCAGAAGACTCAAGCTTACAAAGCCCTGTAAGACTAACTGGTTTGCCAATTGGCAAGTATTAGCTGGCATGTGTAATAAAGGTGCACACAACATTCTCAGTCTAATAGTTCAACACTCCGATCATTTTGGTTTTGGGGGAAAATGTCCATGTGTATCTTCCCAGGTACAGTGTATATAAAAAGTCTACACAACCCTGTTAAAATGTCAGGTTTCCGTGATGTAAAAAAATTAGACAAAGATAAATCATTTCAGAACTTTTTCCACCTTTTAATATGACCTATAAACTGTACGCCTCAATTGAAAAACAAACTGAAATCCTTTAGGGGGGTAAACATAAACTAAAACAATGTGGTTAAATAAGTGTGCACACCCTCTTATAACTGGGGATGTAGCTGTGTTCAGAATTAAGCAATCACATTCAAAATCATGTTACATAGGAGCCAGTACACTCCTGCCATCTTTTAAAGTGCCTCTGATTAACCCCAAATAAAGTTTAGCTGTTCTGTTAGGTCTTTCTTGACATTTTCTTAGTCGCATCCTACAGCAAAAAAAGCCATGGTCCGCAGAGAGCTTCCAAAGCATCAGAGATCTCACTGTTAAAAGGTATCAGGAGAAGGGTACAAAAGAATTTCCAAGGCATTAGATATACCATGGAACACAGTGAAGACAGTCATCATCAAGTGGAGAAAATATGGCGCAACAGTGATATTACCAAGAACTGGACATCCCTCCAAAATTGATGAAAAAAACAAGAAGAAAACTGGTCTGGGAGGCTGCCAAGAGCCTACAGCAACATTTAAGGAGCTGCAGGAATATCTGGCAAGTACTGGCTGTGTGGTACATGTGACAACAATCTCCAGTATTCTTCATATGTCTGGGCGATGGGGTAGAGTGGGAAGACAGAACCCTTTTATTAAGAAAAACATCCAGGCCTTGTTAAATTGTGCAAAAGCACGTGGGACAATGTGTTATGGTCTGATGAAACCAAGGTTGAACTTTTTGGCCATAATTCCAAAAGATGTTTGGTGCAAAAACAACACTGCACGTCACCAAAAGAACACCATACCCACAGTGAAGCATGGTGGTGGCAGCATCATGCTTTGGGGCTGTTTTTCTTCAGCTGGAACTGGGGCCTTAGTCAAGGTAGAGGGAATTATGAACAGTTCCAAATACCAGTCAATATTGGCACAAAACCTTCAGGCTTGTGCTAGAAAGCTCAACATGAAGAGGAACTTCATCTTTCAGCATGACAACGACCCAAAGCATACATCCAAATCAACAAAGGAATGGCTTCACCAGAAGAAGATTAAAGTTTTGGAATGGCCCAGCCAGAGCCCAGACCTGAATCCGATCGAAAAATCTGTGGGGTGATCTGAAGAGGGCTGTGCACAGGTGATGCCCTCGCAATCTGACAGATTTGCAGTGTTTTTTGCAAGAAAGAATGGGCAAATATTGCCAAGTCAAGATGTTCCATGCTGATAGACTCATCCCCAAAAAGAGTGAGTGCTGGAATAAAATCAAAAGTGCTTCAACAAAGTATTAGTTTAAGGGTGTGCACACTTATGCAACCATATAATTTTAGTTTTTTTATTTTTACTTCCCTCCACCTAAAAGATTTCAGTTTGTGGTTTAACTTAGTTTTACAGTTATAGGTTACATTAAAAAGGTGGAAAAAGTTCTGAAATGATTTTATCTTTGTCTCATTTTTTTACATCACAGAAACCTGACATTTTAACAACTAGAAGAAAACGGCAAATATGTATTGAGAAAATGCAAAGAAGATGCTTCCAAATATAATTAAAAAGGAGGCAAAGTGAATGACAGAATGTAGTGGATATTATTATTGCCTCTATCACAAAGCAGTCCAGTTGAACAACAAAAGCGCACAATGGGCAAACATATCTTGCACAAATAGTTTTGCTCACTAAGGCATTCGTTATTGTTAAGAATTTTTTTTAAAGGGAGCCTGTGACCATAGAAATATGGAAGCTGCCACTTTTTGAGTTTTTATAGGTGCTTTTAAATGTGTAGACTTTTCAGCTGTCAGCTTCGTCTACCCTACTTAGTGAGTCACTGACCTGGAATGAGAATGTAGCCAGTGAAGTCTGAAAAGAGACGTGTTCTGGTTCAGCAAGCCACTAGGTATTATCCATTTGAATGGTCATACCAGCAAAGCTGATATATCCTCGTTTGGTAGACACTGGAAAGTAAAACTAACCATATCCCATCAGTCCGTCCTCTTTCTTGGAGTTTTAATTTGTTTTGCACTCACTGGCCACTTTATTGGGTACACCCTGCTAGTACTGGGTTGGACCCCCCTTCTGTCTTAATTATTTGTGGCATAGATTCAACAAGGTGTTGGAAACACTCCTCAGAGATTTTGGTCCATATTGGCATGATAGTATCATGTAGTTGCTGAAGATTTGTCAACTGCACACCCATGATGTGAATCTCCCACTCCACCACATCGCAAAGGTGCTCTATTGGATTGAGATCTGGTGACTATGGAGGCCATTGGAGTACAGTGAACTCATCGTCATGTTCAAGAAACCAGTTTGAAATGATTTGAGTTTTGTGACATGGTGCCTTATCCTGCTGGAAGTAGTGATCAGAAGATGGGTACACTGTAGTCATAAAGGGATGGACATGGTCAGCAACAATACTCAGGTAGGCCGTGCCATTTAAATGGTGCTCAGTTGGTACTAAGGGGCCCAAAGTGTGCCAAGAAAATATCCCCAACACCATTACGCCATCAGCCTAAACTGTTGATTCCTGGAAGGATGGATCCATGCTTTCATATAGTTTACTCCAAATTCTGACCCTACAATCTGAATGTCGCAGCTGAAATTAAGACTCATTAGACCATGTAATGTTTTTCCATTCATCTGTTCAATTTTGGTGAGTCTGTGCGAATTGTAGTCTCGTTTTCTTTTCTTAACTGGCAGGAGTGGCACCCAGTGTGGTCTTCTGCTGCTGTAGCCCATAGGCTTCAAGATTTGCGTTTTAGAGATGGTATTCTGCATACCTTGGTTGTAACTAGTGGTTATTTGAATTACTGTTGCCTTTCTATTATCTCAAACCAGTCTGCCCATTCTCCTCTGATATCAGCAAGGCATTTTCGTTCACACGACTGCCACTCACTGGATATTTTCTCTTTTTTCGGACAATTCTCTGTAAACCCTAGAGATGGTTGTGCATGAAAATCCCAGTACATCCGCAGTTTTTGAAATACTAAGATCAGTCCGTCTGGCACCAACAACCATGGCATGTTCAAAGTCACTTCAATACCCTTTCTTCCCCAATCTGATGCTCTGTTTGAACTTCAGCAAGTCATCTTCACCACATCTAGATACCTAAATGCAATGAGTTGCTGCCATGTGATTGGCTGATTAGCAATTTGTGTTACCAAGTACTTGAACCAGTGTACCTAATAAAGTGGCCAGTAAGTGTATATTACATTAAATGCTAAAATGCTCAGAGTGGAGCAGGAATAGAGTCAGGAAGTATGGCATGGAGATCCCATCACAAGGAGACCTTTTTGAGAGAGTTTAAAATCAACCACCATAGCTGTAATATTACATTTGGGCAGCCTGATCTGTCTTTAGACACTTTAGGAACATGTCTCTGTCTTAAGTACTTTCTGTGTCATTGACCATGGGCACGTATGCAGCAAGTGAAGTCAGATCCACTGATTTGTGTACTAGGTTAGTACCAGATAGAACATAGAAGCTATTGCATAAGCATACCATCCAGGTTTCAGCATTTTCAGGAGGAGATGTCGGCAATGGCAGCCTACATATTTTTCACAGTGCGGGTTTCCTGTGCCATGAAAAAGTGAATACTTTCTCTTTAAATTAAACAAGTACTATTTGTAGTCTAGATCCAAGACAAAAGGGCTCATATTAAAAATCTAGAGCAGAGAAAATTGTTGCAGATGCTCATAGTAATCAAATTTATTGCATCATTTGAAATCTGATTGACAGCTACTGGTTTGTGCTTCATTTTATTTCAGTTTGCTTTGCTTCTTTTTTTGTAAATCAGCCTCAGTTGCTTTTACACTACATACTTTCTGAAAGGATTACAAGTAACCCATAAATCGGCAATTATGTATTTTCTCTGTTGATATAGATCAGAGCTGCCAACCTTAGTGGAGACTGTTCCATAGGCAATGAGATTAGTCGATTCAATTTTGGATTTAAACAGCATCATCAGGTATGTGAAGAATACTCTGGGCTCTATTTTGTACCCACCCATACTGGCCTAATAAAATGATCTGAAGTTAACTTAAAGGGGAGCTCCAGTCATTTTTGTGTTTATTAAAAGTCAGCAGCTACAAAGACTGTACCTGCTGACTTTTAATAAACAAACACTCCCCTGTCCCAGGATCCAGCGATGTGCTCTTCCGAGCCATCCCTTCTCCTTTTCTTTCCCTGGCACCTGCATCTCAACTGTGGGCACCTGGCTGTGACAGTTTGTGGCTTCACAGTCAGATGCCCACTGCGCATGTGCATGTTGCGTTGCACCTCCTCAATGGAACAGCAGTCTTCTGAGAACTGCGGGGGAAAGGAGGGGTGCTGAACTTCCGGCTCAGTTTGCCAAGGCGAACTGACCCAAAAGTGGGAGCAGGTACCTGTCAAAAATAGGATGTGGCAGGGGAGGAGTACCTAAAGCATAACTTCCCCTTTTGGGTGGAGCTCCGCTTTAATTGAGATATAGTGCCATGGCAATAGTAATTTGGATGATAAAAATTCCAGGCAGTTTAGAAGTAGGGTTCCAAAAAAACAAACAATATAATCACATTTCAATAAAATGCTTTGAAACGTTGTAAGCAATAAATATTTGTGTTAGTAGTAGTAATTATTCTACTTTTAATAGGGATTACCAGTCTTATCCATCAGCATTCCACAAGTGAATTAGAGGCCTTGGTGTACATCTGCTCTATGTGCATCTGGAACTGCCTACTGGGATCTATGATCTATGTATTCTTAAATGCATTGGAAAATTTCTTGTAATCTTTTTTTGGAACCGGTCTTTGGAAAATGCTTGGGGGGTGGAAACACCCTAAGCCTACCAATAAGAACAGTTTTTACATACTGATTGTGCAGCACAGATTTAACATATATATTGAATAAAAGCAGAATTCTAGGCAGGTATACAAAACACAAATGAATGCAATTGTTCAATTATTAAATGCAAGCTATAAAAGTATCTAAATCTGACCTGGAGTCATCCTCTTGCATTCCCTGTATAGCAGAGCTGGAGTAGGAATGAGGAAGCGGTACAGGGAGCCAGTCAGTTAATACGCTGATAGAAGCATGCTTATTGATGTAGAAAGCAGAGTGACAGAGAGACAAGCTCATAGCATTGCTGCTTCTTCTTACTGTGTGGGAAATCTTTCGGTTGAAGATAAATCTTGCAGCAAATGCTGGTATTATTATTGTGTCTTTTAATGGGCTAGTCATTTTTATCTTTTTTTTTTTTGGCTAAAGTATCTTCAGAATGTAACAATAGGTGTTGAATCCACCAGGAGACCAAGTGCATGCACTTGACTTATTATGATTTATGTCTCTATTGTGCAATGAAAGCATCTATTTATATTAAGCTGGCCATACACGTATAGATTTTTGTTAGAGATTTTTCGTTTCAAGAATATTCATTTGATCTTCTAATCATTAGTGGGGTCAAATTGATGTTTGTTTTTGACAGCAGTGGCGGGAAAATTTGAAGGGGCAGGAAGGAAAACTTCTCAATCAAATTAATTTTCAGCCAGTGTATGTGCTTATTGTTCAGAAATTATATTTGTTTTAAAAAAAACAAATGACAATTTCAGAACGACATTCGTCTATTCATCAGATGTTCAAAGAATTTCCGTACAACTTTTCTTACAAATATCCTCGTCCCAAAATCTACACGTGTATGGCTAGATTTAGTTTGTGCTGCCTGTAAATTCCACTCCATGCAAAAGCCCAATTTATGGGTATTCCCATGGGGGAATTACAGCAGGCCTTGTACATGGAGGTAAGACTACTGTCAGACCAGCTGGCCTGTTATTCCAAGGAGAAGGGACTGTGGTAGTAACAGTGGGCTTGCATTGTGAATGACGAGCGCTGTCATTCACAACAGCACAAGCCCACAACACCAGCCAGCAGCTAGTATTCTAGTCCCTGTCACCATTTAGACTTGCAATACTAGGAAAGAAGGAACACCCGATGTCCAAAAGAATTCAAGTTTGATGGTAGATTAAGAGGCATTCACTGAGAACAGCAACAAGTACATCAAGCCATCGTATTTCGGGAGAAATGAATCTCTCTTTTCAGGGCTATTGAACATGTATGAAAAATATACAGAAAACAAACAGATATATATAGAAATAAAACAAGAACATGATATTGAATATGTCAAAGCAAAAATACAAAAATGTAATCCCAAGATAAAACTCTGAACCTGGAATAGCAGGCAACCAGGTTGTATGTTAAGTAACACAAGAAGCTGATTTGAAGTAGAAGTAGGAGTTGAAAATCCTAACTCTATAGTTTGAGTGAATATTATTTCTAATTTTTCAGTCATTAGGAAAGAACAAATTAATTTTTTTTTTTTTATTTCATCTGCACATGATTAGGTATTCAGAGTGAACATGGCTTCAATTTGCATGAAAATTCCAGACTCCTTAAAGCAGAACTAAAACATTCTATCCTTTTCAGCCAAGGAAGCTGCCATCTCAGCCTCTGTTTGATCTGCAACTGCCATGATGCTGCACATGTGATCAGTTATGACCCCAGCCATTTGACAGTCTGGTTGAGAGCACAGGCAAATGTGACAGTTTAGAATAAATATATAATGTGTTGCGCTCCCAGTGTCTAATATCTTTAATGTATGTTTAGTAATTACCCTTAGTATACAAATAATTCTAACTATGGTGATGAATAAAAATTTACAAAATCAAAATATGAAAGTGATTTTCTCTGTGTATTAAACCACTATAATGTTTATAAGTTTTTTTTTTTGATGATAATAACCGCAAAACCAATAGATAGTGCATTGTATACTAAAATATATAAATGAAAGGAATAAACATCATAAATAATGAATACTCAAAAATATATATACTGCCAAATAATTGTGATATAAATGTCCTTTAAATTCAGTGACTTTGTGCTTGAATAAATCTTGATTTGGTGACTTTTTTGTGAATCTGTGACTTTCTTTGAATCCTCAATTGGTAAAGATGTATGCTCACCTCCTTGTTAGCCTGCAATTAGGCTATACACACTTGTGGTTCACCTCCTATGGAACCTGCTTAGATGGAATTCCTCCCTTATGGATGGTAAGAACGTGGATATGCGTTATCCTCAATTAGCCCATGTGCGTTTTTCCATATGTGGGGACAAATTGCCAGACATAGTGTTTTATCCTTATAAAAAAGGTTTCTCCTTTATTGCTTTCCAACAGGTACACCACTCACATATATGATATGCGGTATAGGATGAAATTGCTCAGCTCTAATGATCCGCCAGCCGTCCGGCCATGCACCTGCCGTCTGTCAGATACTCCAGCTCTCTCCGAGTGACACCGCAGCCCCACCCCTACGCGTTACGCCACTGGTCACGTGGCTTCATCAGGGGGTTGTGATAGGTTCCTATCACAACCCCCTGATGAAGCCACGTGACCAGTGGCGTAACGCGTAGGGGTGGGGCTGCGGTGTTTGTGTCACTCGGAGAGAGCTGGAGTATCTGACAGACGGCAGGTGCATGGCCGGACGGCTGGCGGATCATTAGAGCTGAGCAATTTCATCCTATACCGCATATCATATATGTGAGTGTACCTGTTGGAAAGCAATAAAGGAGAAACCTTTTTATAAGGATAAAACACTATGTCTGGCAATTTGTCCCCACATATGAAAAACGCACATGGGCTAATTGAGGATAACGCATATCCACGTTCTTACCATCCATAAGGGAGGAATTCCATCTAAGCAGGTTCCATAGGAGGTGAACCACAAGTGTGTATAGCCTAATTGCAGGCTAACAAGGAGGTGAGCATACATCTTTACCAATTGAGGATTCAAAGAAAGTCACAGATTCACAAAAAGTCACCAAATCAAGATTTATTCAAGCACAAAGTCACTGAATTTAAAGGACATTTATATCACAATTATTTGGCAGTATATATATAATTTTTGTAATGAGTATTCATTATTTATGATGTTTATTCCTTTCATTTATATATTTTAGTATACAATGCACTATCTATTGGTTTTGCGGTTATTATCATCAAACTTATATACATTATAGTGGTTAATATTTTTTTTAATCACTTTCATATTTTGATTTTGTATATTTTTATTCATCACCTTAGAATTATTTGTATACTAAAGGAATAATTAGATACATACATTAAAGATATTGTCACTGGGAGCGCAACACATTATATATTTATGACTTTTTGGACACCTAGGTAGTGTTGTGTTGAGTGTTTGCGATCCTATATATATTTTGGGCAGTGAGTGTCCATTCTCTTGAGATTGAGAGGTTAATATTGGGTGGATACAGATTGGCTCGCAAAGTCACACAGATATTTGATAATTGACAGTTTAGCATACCTGGCATTCCAGAAATGTAACTTTTTTGAAACGGTTAAATCAATTGGTTTAGTTCCCCTTTACTAAGGGCTTGTTCACACTATGGTGCAGAGACATTAGTGTTTCTGCATGTGTTCTGCAAGGGCACTATGAAATCAGTTGTTCTCTGTGTCCTGTTCACACCACAATAATGGGATCAAGTGCAAATTTTTTTTGTGCAGCAATTTGTCACGTGTATAAAACTCATTGAAGCGTGATGAAAACCGATGTCTCTGCAAGTGAAATCTGTGTGCCAGTTTTCCATCAGGTTTTTCTACACGTATGGTATGTGTGAACGAGGCTTAAAAGCTAAATTTATTTTAAAAAAATGAAGATGTTATTGTTACTTTCTCTGTGCAATAGTTGTGCTCAGAGCGTCCCCAATCCTCCTCTTCTGGGGTCATCTGCTGACGCTCCTGGCTCCTCTCCTCTTCAAGTACCCTCCAGCAAGCTGCTTGCTGAGGGGCTACTCGTGCAGCTCACTCCCGAGCCCCGCTGGCTGTGTCTATAGACACAGACAGTGGGCTTTGCCCTGCCCCTCTTCACTGGCTGTGACTGACAGCAGCGGGAGCCAATGGCTCCCGCTGCTGTCTTTGAACAAATGAGGCAGAGAGCTGGGACAGCAGCAGCTCTCCTGCACATCTTTGGATCAGGATTGGAGGGGGGGGAGAGCTGCATAGTGAAGGTTTTATACCTTCATGTATAGAATGCATGAAGGTAAAAAACCTAACCCAGGGCTTGAAATTTCCACTCGCCTGCTCGCCAATGGCGAGTGGAAATTTATGGTGGGGGCGAGTGTGTCCCCCAGGGCCGTCTTGCTGAGCAGGCTCGGAGCTCAGGCTGGATCTGTCATTGGCACTGGGAGCTGTCAGACTGCTCAATAGCTGAGCGCAGAGAAAAGCAAAGCAAGGAGTGTGTGCTGTGCTCTTTCTGCCTCCCCCTAGAGTGCAGTACCCGGATCTGTGAGCGACTGCAACTTTTTACTTTTTATGGGCGGGGGGGGGGGGGGGGTGTACGTGTGTGTGTGTGTTTTGTGTGTGTCTGTATGCAATTGTACATGTGCCTGTGTGTATGTACATGTGTGTATCTCTACATGTGTCTACGTGTATGTACATGTATGTGTATGTGTATGTATATGTCTCTGTGTATGTACGTGTCTGTGCATGTGTATTCCTGTGTATGTACATGTATCTGTGTGTATGTGTCTGTACGTGCCTGTGTGTATACATGTGCCTCTGTGCATGTATGTACGTGTGTGTGTGTGTGTGTGTACAGGTGTCTCTGTTTGTGTGTGTTTGTTGGTGGCGAGTAACTCTAAGGCTTGGCTAGTAGCTCAGGACTTGAAATTTTAAGCCCTAACCTAACCCTGGGGTGTCACTAATCCAGAGGGAACTTCTTTCCTGTAATCCTCACTGTTTCAAACAAAATTTTGCTGAACCGTTCCTTTTTTTTACACTACAAAGAATGTTTGTCAATTGGGACTAGATTTTCCACTAGGAACAATTTGATACTTTTATTAACAAGAATTGCTTACTAGTAAAACAGACTATTTAGTGCAATTGATTTCTGAAAGATCTGATTCTGTAATCAAATCATCATATTGTCATATGTATAGTTAACATAAAAGATATGACCAGGACTAGTCTGAAACCCTCTCTCTTTTTGTAAACAGGCTTGTATCAGAGATCGAGCTCTTCGTTCCATACTGGCCGTAAGAAACATCAGCCTAGAGGCAGCAGAGCAGGCCGTGGATGAAGTGTTTACCTCATGTTTTAAGGATCACGAACCATTTGGCCGAATCCCCCATTGTAAAAATGATGCAGATATGGCATACAGAGATTTTAAAAAAAGGAGCAGATATTCTTCAGACATATGAAAGAAAGGAAAATCAAATCAATAGTACAATTTTCAATTTGCTTATTTTATAATTAATTCTCTTCTTAATTTTGGGATTACCTTATTTTTATATAAAAGCACCCTATATGTAAGACTGTCTCTTTTCTTGTGAACATTTTTTTTTTTATATTTAAAAATGTTTTGTTCTATAGTTTGATTTTTCATGTGCAGTAAATTGATTTTAAAAAAGATTTATTATCTTTTTTAATGTTTCTGTCAAGTACCGGTGGGAGCCAAAGACAAGGTTGGCCTTTCCTATGCCTCCAAACTAGGTATCCCTGCAAAGCCTAACAGACAGTCCAAGGTCAGCAATGGATGGCCAGCAAGGTACAGGAACAGCATAGCAGATAATAGAACAGGGTACGGTCAGCAGCAGTTGAGTGCCAAGATACAGAAACAGCAGGCAGGTCAGGAGAATGGACCAAGGTTGACGGCAGCAAGACAGATATTCAATAAGAGTCAGAAGAGCAGAATCTAGAACAGGGGGTCTGAAAACTTTATAAATTAAGTCCTTCAGACTATAGGGGGGCTGGACTGTCGCTAGTGGGAGAAGAAAATGTCCTGGTATCTGTGGGAATAAACCATGCCTCATCATTTATTAACGGGAGATATAGTGCCCCATCACTGGTATCAATGAGAGGAATAGTTTTCCATTGTTGGTGTCAGTGGGAGGAATACTGTCCCATTGTTGGTGTCAGTGGGAGGCATAGTGCCCCTTCATTGGTGTCAGTGGGAGGCATAATATGCCATCATTGGTGTCAGTGGGAGGCATAATATCCCATCATTGGTGTCAGTGGGAGGAATAGTGCCCTAGCATTAATATCAGTAGGAGGAATAGTGCCCCATCATTGGTTTCAGTGGGAGGAATGCCCTATCATTGTTGTCAGTAGAAGGAATAGTGCCCCATCATTGGTGTCAGTAGGAGGAATAGTGCCCCATCATTGGTGTCAGTGGGAGGAATAATGCCCCATTAGTGGTGGGAACTATGCCCCACTGTTGCTGAAAGGGGAAATAAAACCACAAGGGCCAGATAAAAGCAATTATGGCCCCTGGGCTGCAGTTTGGAGACCACTGATCTAGAAGATTGCTAATGGGGACAACTGAAGAGTTCAGGAAACAAGTTACTGCTGAAGACCACTCTGAGACATACTTCATACACCTTGTAGTACCACACACTGACTACATAGAAACTAATGGGAACTCAGCTCATTGTATCAATGTTTACAACAAGTCCCAACTTTCCTGTCTCTGTAGGACTAAAAGTCCCAGCACACCATGCTTTCCTGTCTCTGTGGGACGAGTCTCAGCACACTGTACTTTCCTGTCTCTGTAGGACTACGAGTCCCAGCACACCATACTTTCCTGTCTCTGTAGGACTACACATCCCAGCACACTATACTTTCCTGTCTCTGTAGGACTACGAGTCCCAGCACACTATACTTTCCTGTCTCTGTAGGACTGCACAGTCCCAGCACACTAAATACTTTCCTGTCTCTGTAGGACTACACATCCCAGCACACTATACTTTCCTGTCTCTGTAGGACTACACATCCCAGCACACTATACTTTCCTGTCTCTGTAGGACTACACATCCCAGCACTTATTACTATACTTTCCTGTCTTGTAGGACTTACGAAATATCCCAGCACACTATATTTCCTGTCTTGTAGGACTACACATCCCAGCACACTAATACTTTCCTGTCTCTGTAGTACTACGATCCCAGCACACTATAAATCTTTCCTGTCTCTGTAGGGACTAAAGTCCCAGCACAATAAATAATTATCTGCGCTCTAACATTACCTTGCCTATGCTATATTGTATATTACCATAGCAATACCATTAATTCATATATACTGTGGTACTATCATTCTAATCAGCTTTTTACCTGAATTACCTAAGTAGATTAGTCTTATTATAATATCCTAGTGTTTAATAAAACTTAAAAATATATAATTAAATCAAATTATGATATTTGTACAATGTGCTTATTTCATTAAAAATTAATAAAATTCACTGTGCCAGTGTACAAATAAACTAAGAATATAAATCATTTTTTTTTTGTGTAAATTCATATAATCCAATGTGCAAATTATGCAAAGCAAACTGTAAATTGTATATATATTACTGAAATATAAATGAATAAAAATAATAAAGATAATTAAAAAATATATCAATTCATAAAGTTCAGCAGCAAAAAATGTGCAAAAAAGTTTTTAGGATTCAGCAGGAAGAACTATATTGGTGATACTACTCTCCTTTTCAAATTGCTTATATTGATGCAGATGAGAGCCTACAGACTATCTTCTGAGTCTGTGTAGATGTGAGGTTTTCTCCCTCCTAGAGCCTCTCCTCACTTCAATGCTCAATGTCTCCTCATATGACCCATGGAAGAAAGAAGATAGAAAGATATGGTGCCTTATCCAAGGTATAACAAACACACTGTTTAATGTGCTCCCTTATGCACTCACATGGTATTAGTAAACAACACACATATAGAAATGAAACCGCGAGCTGTGGTGATGCTCAGCCTCTCAGAAGTGTGATCACACTCTGTCAGTACTCGCCGTAATGTCAGTCCGGTACGCTGGTGACGTCACTGACAGCACACTATACTTTCCTGTCTCTGTGGGACTACGAGTCCCAGCACACTATACTTTCCTGTCTCTGTAGGACTACGAGTCCCAGCACACCATGCTTTCCTGTCTCTGTAGGACTACGAGTCCCAGTACACCATGATTTCCTGTCTCTATGGGACTACGAGTCCCAGCACACTATACTTTCCTGTCTTTGTAGGACTACGAGTCCCAGCACACTATACTTTCCTGTCTCTGTAGGACTACGAGTCCCAGCACACTATACTTTCCTGTCTCTGTAGGACTAAGAGTCCCAGCACACTATACTTTCCAGCACCGCTCTGTGGGACTACGAGTCACAGCACACCATGCTTTCCTGTCTCTGTGGGACTACAAATCCCAGCACACCATACACTTTTTCTGTCACTGTAGGACTTCAGGTCCCAGCACACCATACTTTCCTGTCTCTGTAGTAGACTACGAGTCCCAGCACACTACTACTTTCCTGTCTCTATAGGACTTATACCTGTCTCTGTAGGACTACACAGTCCCAGCACACTATACTTTCCTGTCTCTGTAGGACTACGAGTCCCAGCACACTATACTTTCCTGTCTCTGTAGGACTAGCACACTATACCCTGTCTCTGTAGGACACACTACTATACTTTCCTGTCTCTGTGGGACTACACAGTCCCAGCACACTATACTTTCCTGTCTCTGTAGGACTACACATCCCAGCACACTATACTTTCCTGCCTCTGTAGGACTACACATCCCAGCACACTATACTTTCCTGTCTCTGTAGGACTACACATCCCAGCACACTATACTTTCCTGTCTCTGTAGAACTACACATCCCAGCACACTATACTTTCCTGTCTCTGTAGGACTATACTTTCCTGTCTCTGTAGGACTACACATCCCAGCACACTATACTTTCCTGTCACTGTAGGACTACACATCCCAGCACACTATATTTTCTAGTCTCTATAGGACTACACATCCCAGCACACCATGCTTTCCTGTCTCTGTAGGACTACACATCCCAGCACACTATACTTTCCTGTCTGTAGGACTAAGAGTCCCAGCACACCATGCTTTCCTGTCTCTATGGGATTACGAGTCCCAGCACACTATACTTTCCTGTCTCTGTAGGACTACGAGTCCCAGCACACCATGCTTTCCTGTCTCTATGGGATTACGAGTCCCAGCACACCATGCTTTCCTGTCTCTATGGGATTACGAGTCCCAGCACACCATGCTTTCCTGTCTCTGTAGGACTACGAGTCCCAGCACACCATGCTTTCCTGTCTCTGTAGGACTACGAGTCCCAGCACACCATGCTTCCTGCCTCTGTGGGACTACAAATTCCAGCACACCATACTTTTCTGTCACTGTAGGACTTCAGGTCTCAGCACACCATACTTTCCTGTCTCTGTAGGACTACGAGTCCCAGCACACTATGCTTTCCTGTCTCTGTAGGAGTACGAGTCCCAGCACACCATACTTTCCTGTCTGTAGGACTACGAGTCCCAGCACACCATACTTTCCTGTCTCTGTAGGACTACGAGTCCCAGCACACCATACTTTCCTGTCTGTAGGACTACACATCCCAGCACACTATGCTTTCCTGTCTCTGTAGGACTACACATCCCAGCACACTATACTTTCCTGTCTGTAGGACTACACATCCCAGCACACCATACTTTCCTGTCTGTAGGACTACACATCCCAGCACACCATACTTTCCTGTCTCTATGGGACTACAAGTCCCAGCGCATAGCTGTGCCTGGTCCCTGTGATGTAACCAGCAAACCTACTTGTGAGCAAACTCCCAGGGTACCCTGATCCCCTTCCGTATCTCCACCTACTTCCATCACATGATTAGCAGCCACCCCCCTTTCAGCTCTGTGCTGCAGTCATATGTAGAATCGATTGCCCTAAATAAAGATGGCTGCGGTGGTCCTGGTGGGTGATGTCATCTGTGTGTGTCTGAAGGTCAGGGCTGTGTGTAGTCACGTGCCCACATGGCAGTGCCTTGCACAGGGTGACAGTAGTGATCATGGCAGAGGAGAATCCGACAGACGAAGATCATGGCTACAGGCTGTTCCCTCAGAGGGACAGGAGAAATCCTAAGAAGGCGTCCTTCATGTCTACGCTGTACTTGTTAAAGTTTTCATGTAAGAACAGGCTGAAGATCGCTATGCAGCAAAGTAGGTGTGCCATGTGTTTCTTCTATTGTCCTGCATGTACTGTGTGTTGTATGTTTACATTCAGAGGCAGGAATGGAGTCAGCCCCACTCACAGGGGTGTCTACAGCGACTGGAGCCTTTGTAGGCCCCATTCACACCAGGCGATTTGGGATCACCGCAGAAATCATGGCAAAACGCGGCATTGTGTGTTTGTGTGCCATTCATTTTTAACGGCACCTTAAACGCGGTGTGGTTTTACCGCTCCACAGAATTGTATGGCAATCTGCATTGAGCAATGCTCGTTACTGCAATCGTAGTGTGATACATTGTGGCAAAATCGGATTTTGAAAATGAATGACACGCGTGCCATGTTTTTCTCATAATTGCAGTGTGATTTGGAATTTCGTTTCCTCCCGTGATTCCTTATTTACTAGATGTGAACTGAGCCACTCAGTTCACACTGTCAAGTTTTGTGCCACTCGAGTTTGCCTGGGCACAGCAGCCTATTCAATCGAATGGGCTTCTGTATCTGCAGGGAAAAGCTCCTCACACCTCCGCAGCTGCACTGAAGTCACACAGTGCTTGTGCACCATTGAATTTCCTGCACGTGAAAAGGCCCTATGTTTTCAGATGCATCAAGGTGCCATTAAGAATGAATGGGAGTCCTGCAAATCTGCAGAAGAACACGTGGAAACACGTGCGATTTGCACTCTGTTCCACACATGCAACAGTGTGAACCTAGCCTAACACCCCGGTCACATCGGGTGCGACTTGGCATACGATTTGTAAGTCGCATGGCATACAAATTGCATGCCAAGTTGCACTTTATTACAGCGGTCAAATTGGTGCGCTTTTAACATGGTCAAAGCCGCACCGATTTCTAAAGTAGTACATGTACTACTTTTGGTGCGATTTGCATAGACATCTGTGTCCGATATCTTCCAAATCGCACCTGAAATCAGCATCTCACCCAACTTTGAAATTGTGTGACTTCACTGTAAGTCGCATGATTTCAAAGTCAGGCTTGATGTGACCGGGGGGGTTAGGGATGAATGGAGATGCAGTTGCAGTATGGACAGAGCATGTCCTAGTTTGTCAGGTGTGCAGGAAACAGCACGCTGGCTGCATTCATAGCCCTACACCGTCCCCTGCATGCCTGCCAAATTAGGACATGTGGCTGTGTCTGTACAGCTGCTTCATCTTCATTCACTTACATAGGTTGCCTTCCCACAGCTCCCGCCACATACACAAGCATCCTGACCACTTTGTATGGGTTGTGGTGCCCCTGTGAATGAGGTCTTTGTTATTAACCTCTTGCCCTCCAAAGGATTTACCCCCCCTTCCTGGCCAGGCAGCACTGCAACCAAGTGAAATTTATGTCCTTTTTTTTTCCCCACAAATGGAGCTTTCTTTCAGTGGTATGTGATCGTCTGTGCATTTTTTATTTTCTGCACTATAAACAAAAAAAGGCCTCCAATTTTAAGAGAAAAAAAAACAATATTTTTTACTTTTTGCTATTAAAAATATCCAATAAAAAATGTTTTAAAAATCAAATTTCATTATAAATTCAGGCCAAAATGTATTCTGCTTCATGTCTTTGCTAAAAAAAAAAAAAAATCCCAACACATGTAAATTAATTGGTTAATGTGAAAGTTATAGCGTCTACAAATGGCGGTGTATATATACTAGGATTTTTTTTTTATAATATACTAATCAAGGCGAAGATCAGCAACTTATAGCAGGACTGCGGAGGGCATTCTGACATTGGGGGGGAACTCTCACTGACATCCCCAGTGACACTAATACATTGATCAGTGCTAATAAAAACACACTGTACTAATGGCACTGGGCAGGAAGGGGTTAACATCTGGGGCGATCAAAGGGTTAACTGTGTGCATTGTGTCTGTTTCACTGTCAGCACATTGCTTTGTATTGCTCTGCTATGCCCCAAATGCTTATATGAATTGGGGCAGTTCTTCTTCAAGTGCCCACAGCTCTCTTTGGTAACGATGATGGTCTCTATTGGCTGTAAGACAGGCAATTAGGTTACTCACAGAGTCCTGAAGATTTAAAGTGGCAGTAGCATAATGTCATGATGCAAGGGACATTATTTTCTATTTGTTTACAATCATATCTGCAATTGTGGGGTTGACAATGATGTGAAAATTTGTTCAAAGGTTCCTCCACAGCATAAAAGTTTGAAAAGTGCTGATATAGAAGGACCAAACACATTAACTAGTGTTAAATAATACTCCTCTATAGTGTGTCTCTGTCTCAGTCCAAAGCACTGAGTGTGATTTCTGTCTGCTGCATCTTTCCTTTTGCTATGTCCATGAGTCACTTCTGACAGGTAATACCAACACCACAGAATCCCCAGGGACAGGGGAGAGGAGGTCCAGCACACAAGCCTGTGGTTGACAGCCTCTGCTGTGCATGTTTCCCTATTTGCTGTGTCGAGAGCTCTGTGTCCATAACTTCCACTCTTGTCTCAGATTATACTCAGCTATCCTGTCTGTGCTCTGTAGTGTAGTGTGTGACATCAGAGTCCCACCCTCTGTCTTCTCGCCATCAGAAATGCTGTCTATATTGTACACTTTGAATAGATGTAGAGGACAGATGGCTGCAGATAAACAGATGCAGCTTATGTAGGAGGATTTGTTTCATCTCTGTGTATCACCTGAGGCCAGTGCCTTCACTGGGTATATGTAAGGGTTTACAACCACTTTAGTTACATTCTGTGTCCAAGTATTGGTTTTATAGTTGGGCTATGCCTACTCGTGATCAAAGGGGAACTCCAACTTTTTGAGTGTAGTAGGACTGTAGTAGAAACGTAGCGGTCGGCAGGAAGAACCACAGCATCCAGCAAGGGAAGTGTTGGATAGCGTCAGTGCTTTTAGCTCTGCAAGACTGCAAAGATTTGCTTTGCCACCCACCAGAAAGGTTTTTTTGTTTTTTTACAGGATATTTGCATTTTTGTTTTTTTACGCTTTGTCTGTGTATACACATACTCATGATTAAATCAATGTATTTTTGCTTTAGATCCACAGGTTAAAATACTTCTAGATGCCATGAGTAAAGCTGGTTGGTAAGTTTTTTTTTTTTTTTTTTTTTTTTTTTTTTTTTGTCTGTTTTTGTTTTTGTTTGTTTTTTTTAAAGTTATTTAAAGAATGTTAAGTAAACTGATACATCTTTATTCTTATTTCAGACATAGCTTATTATTAAAGTATTTAATTTGAGAACTGTAAACGGTTTGCAGTCTCTAATGACAGGAAGTACCCCAAATGTTGATTGGTAGCCAGTAAACATATGGGTCTTCAGATAACCGTACATGCATAGAATTATCTCGTTCTGAACAAGGGTAATCCAATAGTTTAGCATGGATAGTGGAATGTCCACAGCCAGTTATTGTAGAAGCCGCGACACCCCCAACTGCTTAAATACCCACCCCCAACTGCTTTAAAACCCCCACCCCCAACTGCTTTAGTGACTGCATCTGATAGGATGCAGTTGCTGTTTGGTTGACTGTTTTCATCCTGGCTCCTTTTTTTTCAGTTGAATTTTGTCTAGCCAGGTGGTACTGCCAGGGCCATCCGTGGCTCACATTTCAGGCAATTCAGCAGCAACTGGCCAACATTTGAGCTGAGTATGGCCATCTTTACTTTTACAAACTGCAATTTTATAGACCAGCAACCCATAAACACAGCTGTTTCCACAGCAAAATAGTATTTGCATTTCAATCACTTTACAGGCACTTGATCCACCTCAAATAGTTCCACTGTAACCTGTGCGTCATATATCGAAAAACATAGAAAGAATCTCTCTGCTTTATACTCTGTCGGCAGGTATTCTCTCTCTCTTTTCCTTAAAGTGGAACTGTATGGCAAATATTAAAAATGCACAGCTCATTGTACCTATTCAACAATGCCGAGCTGACTAAACTCTTGCGCCTGCGCAGGAGTGACGTCATCTCAGCCCCCACCAATGAACTTGGCTGGTAATCAATACCCGGAAGCTGGCCGCCAGAAGATATCTGCTGCCAGTGGGAAGCACCGGGATGCCACCCTCAACTGAAGGTGAGTATATAGTTCGGCTTTAAGCTCTTTTGATTAGATTTTACCATTTGATCATGTAGTTTGCTATGCAATACACTCCTAGTAACGGATCTTGTAACTTTTTTCAAAACTCCTCCTGGTCAGCAAATGTCTAGTTGGCAGTTTCCATCACATTGTCCATTTTGAAGACGATTAACCACCTCCCGTCCAGCCGTTGTATATAAACGGCCGGACGGTGGCAGTGAAGGGTCGGGTTGCCATTTATAAACGACCTCCCCACACCCTGCTTGTGTGTGCTCCCTGGGAGCGCTCAGCACCACGATCCGGTGCCTGCTGTGTCCTCCGGACACAGTGGAAACCCGATCGTCGTACGGGACCTCTGTGCGAAGTGTCGATCATGTGATCACTGATTGGTCAATCAGTGATCACATGCAAAGTAGTAAGCAAGATGTCACTTCTGACATCATTGCTTACTACGTGTGAAATCTGTGAATGATCACAGAGGTCACATGGTACAAGGCCAGTCACAACAGCCTTGTACTATGTGACAAGCTGTGACCAATCACAGCTCACCCAGTAGTTCTCAATGGTTGCAAGAATGCAGCCAGAGAGAAGGAGAAATGATTGCTTTTACATCCTTTATGAGTGTAAAAGCAATCAGTGTAAAAAAATAAAATAAAAATCTTCATCACCCCCCACACAAGTAGTACAGTGTCACCATGGTGACACTGTACTGCTAGGGTGACAGTATGTAAAAAAAAAAAACCAACCCATAAATCATAATATAAAAAAAAGTTTAAAAATTATATTTTTTTGGTTATAAACTAATTTGGGTTTTTTTTTTTTTTTACTAAACAGATAACAGAATAAATTTTGGCTAAGATTTATGATGAAATAATATTTATTTGCAAAATTTTATAGGAAAAACACTGTTTTTCAAAATGTTTGGACTTTTTCATTTACATAGCAAAAAAAAATAAAAAATCCCAGTGGTGAATAAATACCACCAAAATAAAGCTTTATCTGTCTCAAAAAAGCTAAAAAATTCATATGGGTAGTGTTGCATGACCGCGCAATTGTCATGTGATAGCACTGAAAGCTGAAAATTGGCCTGGCTAGGAAGGGGGTAAAAGTGTCCAGACTTGAGGTGGTTAAAATGTTGACTGTGATATTTCTGATTAACCTCTATGTATTTTTTTTCAGTACAGCCTATCTGGATAGACACTTTGCCTGTGAAGAATGTGATACAAATGTAGCAGGGGGCTTTGATTCAGCTACCTCTGAGGTAATTTGTGTCATTGGCGCTGTTGCTATTCATACAGCTACTGTTTGCATCCAAGGATAAAGACATGGTCCCTAAGAACCTGTTCACACTATGTGCAGTTATCTGTGTTTTCCTCATGGATAGTTTTCTATGCAGTTCATTTACTAAAACTTGAGAGTGTAAAATCTGGTGCAGCTCTGCATAGAAACTAATCGGCTTCCAGGTTTTTTGTCAAAATTTAATTGAACAAGCTGGAAGCTGATTGGATACCCTACACAGCTGCACCAGATTTTGCACTCCAGTTTTAGTAAATCAACCCTCATGTGTCAAGTTCATACCAGAATGCAGTGTTTCACTGTATTCTAGAACTGTGCGATATTATGTAACATGTTTGCATAATATCGCACCACTCTAGATGACCCTGCATGTCTCCGCACTTGTCACTTTGTACACTTCACATAAAGTTCTAACACAATGGGAGTTGTGTGATGCGAAAAAAACTGCATCACACCACCAGTTGCCATACAGCTCTGCAGTCCCTTTTTGTTTCTACCCCACCCTTCCCTTCCCCCAGGGCCCAGCCTCTCCTCTGTTGCATCCCTAGCTAAGCTTTGAAAGACTCCTCTCTGTTCTGAACAGTCTGACCCGACATTTTTTTTTTTTACCTCAACCGCCTCCCGTCCGCCATATAAGGAAATGACATATGATGCTCTCTTGTTTTGGGAGGACATCATATGACGTCCTCCAACTCTAGTTGCGCATGTGCGCCGATCAGTGGTGCGCTGTGTCCTTTGATCACAGCGGATCACCGATCTCAGTAAAGAGCTGATGACACAGGCTCTATCATGTGATCAGCTGTGTCCAATCACAGCTGATCACATGTTAATAGGAAATGCCTGTTATGGGCAGTCCTCTCCTCATGCTGACAGCGCGTAAAGAGAGAACATCCAGTAAGCGGCATTCCTCAGAGGAGACATCTACACTGATCATCAGTGCCCTGATGATCAGTGTAGCCCTATAATTGCCACCTGTCAGTGCCCATTGCCACCTATCAGTGTCCATCAATGCCAAATATCAGTGCCCATCATAGCTGCCTTTCAGTTCCACCTATCAGTGCCATATGAGTGATTCCTATCGGTGCCCACCAGTGATGCCTGTGAATGCCCATTAGTGCTGCCTATCAGTGCCTATCACTGCAGCCTCATTGGCGCACTTCAGTGAGGGAGAAAAATTAATTATATATTTACAACATTTTATAAGAAAAACTAACCGTTTTTTTTTTTTTTTTTTTTTTTTTTTAGTTTGATTAGCAAAAGATCAAAAACCCAGTGGTGATTAAATACCACCAAAATTAAAGCTCTATCTGTCAAAATAGTTATAAAAATTTTGTTTGGTTACAGTGTTGCATGACCGCGCAATTGTCATTCAAAGTGCAACAGCTCTTAAAGCTGAAAACTAGCCAGGGCAGGATCTGTTCTCTGACAATTGCCAGTTATTGGCAGCCAGTGGTGTATTTAGGTTTTGTGCTGCCCTAGGCAACACAAAAATTGGCGCCCCCCCCCCCCCCCCCGCAAAAAGAGCCTGACATTGACCAAGAACACCCCCTGCCCCCCACCCAAGCCTTCCACTACCACTGCCCCCCATACACCAGCCACCATCCCCCATGGTGAGAGAGAGAAAGACACTCACCTTCACAGCTCCGGAAATCCCCAGGAACGAGAGTCGGGCTGTGCATACACTGTCGTGAAACACACAGCATCTCTTGGAACCCACCAGGTCCCCATGCCGTGTGTGTCCCATCTTCCGTCCCTTCTCCCAAGGCTGCCCCCCTGAAAAATGCCACCCTAGGCAAATGCCTTGTTTGCCTTGTGTTAAATACACCCCTGATTGGCAGTACTTTTCCTCACTCTGTGACAGCGTGAGGAAAGTGCAGTCGATAACTGGTAACTGTATTTATCCGGTGATCTGCTGTGTCATTGGACACCGCTGATCACGTGGTAAAAAGCCACTGTGATTGCCCTTTTACCACCTCACGTTATCGGCTGTCTCCATAGGACACAGCGATCACGGAGATCGCCGGGTGCAAGCCGCTGGAGGGCGCTTTCTGGGAGGACGTCATATGACTCCCTTCCAGAACTGGACAACTGCGCTGTTGCTGTCATTCAGCTAGAGCGCGGTTGCCAAGTGGTTAAGTACTCAAAGGAAAAAACCTGTTTCCGCCCCAACTCTAATTCGGTAATTGAGAGGGCTCATAAACAATTTTTGGCCCAACCAGTGCAAGATAGACTGTTTTCGCTCGGAACAAAACTTAATTATCTTCTCACAGATTGGGCAAAGGTGAATCTACTTAGATGTAAGCGTACATTTTATTTTAAGATGTTTGGACCAGAATCTATATCCCACAAATTAGAAGTAAGAATGGTACTGTAGTTAAGGACTTTCCTGCTATAGCTGTGGTTTTTCGGTCTTGTATGTATCTGTATAATCTTCACTCTGGTATTGTGAAGCCTCACTCTCAAAAACGGACCGCAATTCGCCACTATTTAAAGGACTCAGGCATGCCTCATCTACCCAAGGAAGTGACCCAAGATCTAGATTGCCCACTTTCTGCAGATGAATTTAATTTAGCCCTTAAGGCTATGAGTACTGGGAAGGCACCTGGCCCTGACAGGTTCATCCTTGCATATTATAAATCTTTTTAGGCTCGACATTTGCAGAGGTTTACACTCTATTGTTAGGGGAGATACCATACCTCGAGATACCCTCCATGCTATGGTTACTCTTATACCCAAAGAAGGCAAGGACCCTCAGCAGTGCCAGAGTTATGGGCCTATTTCCCTTCTAAACGTAGATTTAAAATTTTACTAAAATTTTGGCCAGTCGACTCTTGCCCTATATTCCCTCCCTTATATATCAGTCTGGATGTATACCCGAACAAGAGGCGAGAGACTCAGAATGCTGAGTGCTATACATCTGGCCAAAGAGAAAAACTTCCTTTTATTCTCTTATCTGCTGATGCGGAAAAAGCCTTTGATAGAGTGAGCTGGGAGTTCATTTTAGCCTCCCTGTCCCATATAGGCTTTGGGATAAATATGTTGGCATGGGTCAGGGTCTTATATTCACATCCAAACTCCTCTGTGAGAACCAACAAATCTGTTTCAGCCCCTTTTTTGATAACAGGACCCGACAAGGCTGTCTTTTGCCCCCCCCCCCTTATTCTTATACTCTCTCTTGAACCTTTTTTAAGGACTTCAGGTTGCATCAGGTAATTACAGGCCTTTAATATCTCTAAGTATGCTCATAAGGTCCCAGCATATGCAGATGATCTGATTTTTTTTTTTCTTTCATCCCCTCAAACTTCCTCCGGTCTTGTTAAAAGAACTGAAGACTTATGGGGCACTTTCTAATTACAAAATTACTGATTCAAAATCAGAAGCCCTTAATATTACTCTATCCCCTCAACAACTACAGAGACTACAACGACAATTTACTTTTTAAGTGGTCTTCCTCACATATTAAATATTTGGGCACGCTGATTCCTGCTAACTAAAAACAGATTTTTTTATTTAATTTTCGCACGTTGGCTAAAGAGATCAAGGCAGACCTACGAAACTGGAAGTAGCCCTTACATGGTTTGGGAAATAGTGTCCTGAAAATTTAATATTCCACCATGGCTTTTTTTTTTTTTATTATTACAAACTCTACCAGTGTCTTTACCACACAGTTTTCTGAAAGATCTAAGGACCCAATTTCTGCATTACCTATGGGGAGGAAAGAGGGCCAGAATCAGCAGAGTAATTTTAAGTAGGGACGCACCGAAATTTCAGCCACCGAAGCATATCGGACAAAATGAAAAATGTAGCCAATACAGGTGACTGTGTGTACTGCAGATGTGGGGGGGGGGGGGCGGTGCAGCTGAGACAGGCAGGAGAGGAGCAGTGTGTACAGTGACTGGCTGTCACTATGGGATTTATTTACTAAACCTGGTTGACTCAGAATCTTGTCCACTTCTGCATAAAAAACCCAATCAGCTTCCAGGTTTTATTGCTGAAGCTTAACTGAACATACTGAGGTTAGAAGCTGATTGGCTACCATGCACAGGTGCCCAAGATTCTGAGTCAACCAGTTTTAGTAAATCTCCTATTATATGTCAGTGCCAGTTTTTAAATGTAACTACTTGCTTTTTGTTTCTTCACTATAGCTCACAGAATCTTTGTATTTTTTTCCATTTGCTTGTATATATTTTTTTTAACTTATGATTTTATTCCTATCACGTAGGGGACCAATAGACCCCTATGTGATAGCATATGAGTGACAGACCATCTTTGTAGGGGAAAGGGGGTGGTGGGCAGTGTGTGCAAGGAAGGGGAAGGAGATGGAGATGAGCAGTGTATACGGTGAGGGATCAGTGCATACAGAGAGGCTCCTTCACTGGCTGTCACTATGTGTTGATGCCGGCTTTTTTTTCTTCTTCACTATAGCTCACAGAATTGGCTGTCACTCCCACCCCCCTCCAGCTAAAAGAAACAGTTTCCTTTTAGTTTCTTTCCCTGAGTTAAAACAAACAAAGTTTCCTTTAGCTCCAGGGAAAGTGATAGCTAATTCTTTGAGCTATAGTGAAGAAAAAAAAAAAAGCCGGCATTTGTATTTAAAAACTGGCACTGCCATATAGTGACAGGCAGTGAGGCTCCCTCTCTGTATACACTGCTTTCACTGTATACACTGCTGCTCTCCTGCCCCCTCCTTGCACACACTGCCCCTCCCCCTTACAAAGAGGACCTGTCACTCATATGCTATCACATAGGGGACTATTGGTCCCTATGTGATAGGAATAAAATCATAAGTTAAAAATGAAAATAAATAAAAATATACATGAAAGTAGAAAAAAAATACAAAGAAAAATTGGAGCCTCCCCACCCCCACATACGCACGGAGACATTTTGGTTCGGTTTTCGATGCGCCACTAATTTTCCAAATCAAGGGGGGGGGGGCATTGGATTTCCAGACCCTATTAAATACTATGCTGCTGTTCATTTAAGAAGAGTGATTGATTGGTGCACCCAGAAGACTACTAAACCATGGCTAGAACCAGAACAGGCTGCAATTACTGCCCCTTTGGAAAGCATTATCTGGGCATATCCTGCCAGATGGTCCTTTGCAGACTCACCATATCTCTTGCATGATACGCATTTATCTGTTAAACTTTATAAACGTTCACTCCTAAAACATCTGAATACTGCAAAAGCATGTATACTAACCCTGTGGAAAGAAATTATTCCAACTACATTCGAACATTGGTATAATAGGGTATCCAACTTATGGAACAGTTAATAGTGTTCATTAGGAACCAACCTGAGATTTGGATGCCCTGGCAGGTATATTTAGACTCTCAGTGAGTAGGCCTCGAAAGCCAGAATGGATGTTATCTTTGAAGGGTAGAGCTGGGTCTTACCTGCCCACCCCATCCCTCAATTTGTCCCATTTTTTTTTTCCTTCACTTTCCCTCTCCCTCCCTCTACTAGTTTATTGTTAAACTGATCTCAACAGGGTGCAGACCTTAATATCATGGTGAGTCCGTGTATACATGATTACATACCTGATATGTTTCCTCTCTCTTTTCTTCTTTTTTTTTTTTTTTTTTTTGTTTGTTGCAGATTGTTTGTTTTTTTTTTTTCTTTTTCAAATTATGGTGACAGTAACTGTCTATTGACGTAGTGCTCAGTCACACCGAATCCTACTTTGAAATCCTGTGACTTTAAGTGAAGTCGTACGATTTCAAAGTTGAATATTAGTGCGACTTCAGGTGCAACTTGCAAGACATCTGTGTGACTTCACGCACAGATATCTATGCAAGTCGCACTTGAACTTGCAAAAAGTAGTGCATGCACTACTTTCAAAACTGGTGTGACCAGGACAAAGTCGGGATTGCACCAATATGACCCCTTTAATTGCAGACAATAGGGTGCGACTTGTCATGCGGTTTGAAACTATCAAATCGTATGACAAGTCCCACCGGTATTAAGGAGAGTTGGACTAAATATTGGATTGTAGTAAGATGTATTATTCATCCTATATTTGGTCAGATTAAAGATAGTTTTTAAAAATAAATAAAATGGACTGCTGCCCACACACAAACCACTGTGGTTGGTTTGCGGGCACGTGTGTGTGGGCCCTTAACGTGGTTGTAAAGGCTGAAGGTTTTTTTCCTTCAAGCATTCTATGCATGAAGCTAAAAAACCTTCTGTGTGCTGCTGCCCCCACAGCCTCCCCTAATACTCACCTGAGCCCCATCTCAATCTAGTGATGTTCACAAGAGCCTTGGCACTCCTGGGTCTCCCTTTCCTCATTGGCTGAGACAGACTGTCAGTTACAGCCAGCCAGTGAGCCAATGAGGGGGAGAGTGGAGGTCAGGCCACAGCTCTTTGTGACTTGTAGATGCATAGAGATGGGCAAGCATGCACCAGTGCCTCCACAGCAAGCAGCTTGCCATTGAGGGTACTGGTTAAGGAGGAGGAGCCAGGAGCGCAGACAGGGGACCCAGGAAGATGAGGATCGGGGTAGCTCTGTGCAAAACCATTACACAAAGCAGGTAAGTGTGACATGTTTGTTATTTAAGAAAAATAAATAAACAAACCCTTAATATCATTTTAAGCTGCAGATCTTAAAGTGGACCTAAAGTTTCGCTGTTGCTCACTGAGAAGAAGTGAGTTTTTGGGGGGTTCTTTTGCTTTTGTTTGTTTTTGTGTTTGTTTTTTTTGCAGAGACATTCTCTGTCACTTCTTATTTTGGCTATGGGACAAGAAGGGAAGGAAAATCTCCCCAATGGTACACCGATGGCAAAAAAACTGATGGATTATAACCTTCCCTTACTCTTTCTGAAAATGAAAGTAGATGAGTAATCGATGAGAGGAAACAGATCTATGTAATGCAGCTTGCAGGAAAAGATGCTTAAAAAAACCTCAGAAAGATGAACGGTGGATGGATAGTCGAGATAGAATTTCTTGTAATAGTCATGGCAGCTTTGTCTTTATTTTTGTTATTTTAAGCTAGGCTAGTGTTTTTTCTGCCTTTGTAATCTTTGAAAAACACATATTTTGCACTTGTGCGTAAGACTGAATTACATATATTATGAGCATTTGCCTAAAATGTATAATTTGTTTTTCTAACTTTTTTTTTTTTTTTTTTTTTTTTGATCCCTCTTACAGGTTGTATTATGTCAAAATACCATTGCCAATCAACATCAAATGAACAGAGTGGTTACACATGAGCTGATTCATGCTTTTGATCACTGTCGTGCACAAGTGGATTTCTTAAGTAATATGCGGCACTTGGCTTGTACCGAGGTAGGTTTTTAATGCAATTAAAGCTGAACTTCAGGTATGATCTTTATTGCATACTTTCAGTGGTCCAGCTTGGTACAGTAAAAGTAAGCACATTCCATACCTGAAGGATCACTGGGGAAACTGACGACTACCATAGTAGTCTGCACTACTACAATAATAAGTGATCTTCCGGGTCCTGTGCCGAGCGACATTCCTTCTGCACACTGACCACACGGAGTCGATTGCTCAGTACTGCAACCATTTCCAGAATACCTTGTTTTTTTTTTTCAGGTAATATAAGGTGCTCTCTAATTGGAGAAGGTCGAGATCGTCACTTCACCACCCCTCCTCCTAACCTTGTCAAATTAGACCACACCTTGTATTCATTGAAAAAAGCTGATCACAGAAGATTGCTGCTTTCACTGTAGTAGTGCCAACTACCACCATGGTTGTCAGCTTCCCCAGAGTTCCCTTGCATTGTTCTAAGCTGGATCAATCTAAGTGTGCAACATAGACTCATACCTGGAGGTCAGCTTTAAGTTTCAGTTAAAGGAGAAGTTTGGGAATGGAAAAAAAAAGCATGCATGCATATATACTCCCCTCTATGGCTGCAGCCAGGGTTGCCGATAAGGGGGTACCACCTGTCCTTTTTGTAGGGGGTCAGAGCCCCATCAGTTTAACAAAAGGGCCCAGACAGCTTCATGGTACATTATAATGTGCAGGCAATGCATGACCGGCTTCTAGAAGGTCCAATAAAAAATAAAATTTCCCTGGACCCCATTATATTATCATAGGGGCCCAGAGAGTAGGAACTATTTGTTCAATTTGGCTCGTAGACAGCCGGCAATGCATCTTTGAAGTTTAAAGTTCTGTTCCCTGCTGGCAGAGGGATATATGTGGGAGATGCCTGCCTGCCTCCCTCACTCTGTAACTCCTGAGGGCAGAAGGCAGGGCTGCAGCCAGTGGTGTATGTGGGATTGCGGCTGTTGGAAACACTTTGCACAGCTAGGGATCGTCAGCCGGATGGCGATGGTAGCAGGCAGTGCTGACTTGTAGAGATTGCACACAAGCACTTTTACTGGTAAGGGTTCCCTTACCTGGGCACACATAGTGTAAGACCGCACACGAGAGTATCATCCATGGCTGCTGAGTGTTTGCACTTGTACAGCTATATACAAGTGCAAACACTCAGCAGCCATGGATGATACACAGCCACAGCACCTATCTCGCTGTGCTTTTGTGATCATCATGATGGTCATATAGTACAGGTCCATCTGACTTCATCCAGGCTTGGCCTCTGCTTTCCACAGGTAACAGCATGGTTTGTACTGACTGAGCGGTTGCCATACTCACATGCACCTTTCATCTTAGCAGCATGAATTCACTGATTCTTGTAGCTGAAATTTGGTGGACGCAGCTAAAAAGGCGGTGTGAAGGAGGTCTAAGTGTTTATAGCAGGTGGTAAGGAGAGATTTCCTATTATTAATATTGTGAATGGTGCAGCTGATTTTAAAGCGTTAGCTCACCTTCACGTTTTTTTCTGTAAAGGTGAATTAACATAGAACATCCTCCCCAACCCCCTCATTTCCTATTTTCTGACCACCAGGATTGCCGTGCCTTCAGCACCAACACAGCTGGGGCAGAGATGTGGGGGGTCTGGTCTGGTAAGTTGTATGTAAGGGGGAGTCAGGTAAGCTGTACGGGCCCCATGATTTCTAACAGCGACCCTGGTTGTAGCATTGCTGCGATGCTTCAGCTGTCCCCTGCCGGTTCTAAGCCTGAGAACTGATCAATCACGTGATTGCTCAGGTCTCAATTCGCTCTTAGCAGAGAGCGGTGGCTGTCAGTCACCGTTCTCTGCCATTCCAGCACTCGCTAGACTGCCGATCTAGGAAGGTGCTGGAGCAGCTGGCTCAGTCTCTGAGTAGCTGAGCCATCTGCTGATCAGGCATCTGGGTGGACCCCGACATTAGGCAAGAAACATGTGATTTCAATTGCTGACTATAATTTGATTTATTTTAAGATATGTTTTTTTTTTTTTTTTTTTTCCATTCTTTGCAGGTTAGAGCTGCCAGTCTCAGTGGAGACTGTTCCTTTGCTAATGAAATGTTAAAGTTTAAGGTAAAGCAGCATCACCAGGTAGGTAAATTTGTTGCAAGGTGAAAGGTATCAGTACATGACTCTTAAGTTTTATAAGGGCAGTAACATTGGAAAGTCCACCAAAACGCTGAAGCATTAGTCCGATGTTTTGGAAGTATTCTTTTACTGAACCACCACATTTTGTTCACCTAGTAACTTTCCAAACTGGCATTGAAATATTCATTTATATGTTTACCAGGTATACAGTAGAACTTTTTATGGTTGGATCATTTTCTGACCAGATAGCAAAGCTTATCTTCACTTGTGTGAACATTCACTTCAGTTATCCAGTTGTGTAAGTCAAATTCCTGTTAGGAACTAGCAGTTCACATGAATAAATAATTTAAGTGAATGGTTCCACAATATTTTGAGTGAAGATTCTCAACTCCTTTTAGTAAATCAGCCTCCTTCAATGAATTATAGACAAAGCATTTTTTCTTTTATATCCAATAAAAAACAAGTACAAAAACATAGGTAAAAGAAAAAAAAATCACACAGTATAGATAATAAATAGAAATGGAAAGTAAGTAGAAATGGTGAGAAGAACCCAGTGGGGTTTTCTTCCACTAAAGGTTATTTTATCTCCGTATAGTATTTCGTAGCAACCCATTAGCCTGTTTGGATACTTTAAAACGACAATGGAATACTAGAAAGATTAGACTTTGAATTTCAGCATGCTAGATAAATTGTACTGTCTTGCCAAGTACCACTTTTTTACCTGATCAGGGTAAGTAAAGTTACTGAAGGAGAATTTCACAGATCATAGCTATTGGTGCCATTTCTGTTTGCAGTCAACAATTCTGACCACAGTTGACAAAAGCAGGTTAAAAGGACAGTGTCCTGTCAAACCTAAATGTCCTGCATTAGCCCATTAAAATAGATCAGGTTTATTCTTCTTATGCTTTAATCAATTTTTTTACTAAATTTTTGTTTCAAAAAATTAATTGGAGAATATTCACACTAATAGTGATATCCCATTTACAGTTGAAGTCTGGTGACTGAACTGGTTGGAGCACCAGTACCATGATTCCCGTGCTATAATTCTTTTGCAGCCTGCTTTTTAGTTGAAGGTGTTCCCACTCCTCTTGAATGCTCCCTAGGTTAAATAAAAGATCCCGGATAGTGAATAATGCACTCTAGTAATGGCCATGAAAGTGTGCAGGAATGGGTACTCAAGTACAAGGGTGACCACAAGGTCTCCAAAAGATATGAAACTGTTAAAAAATGTAATTCCATAGATCTATAAAAACTTCAGTTTTTTTGGAATGCCTCTTTAAGGCCTCATACATTACTTTTTTGCTTGTAAAAGGGCATGTGTACAGCATGTTTGGGGTCAAGTGATGGAAGCCTTTGAAAAAATTTTAATGCTTTAGAAAGGCTGTTAAAACCAGCAGCAAGGATTTTAGAAACAACTTGTTTGAAAGCCTGCTGAAGACTTCTAGCAGCCTGTCCAGCAGTGACACAATCATGGACCTTGGAACAAGCCTCATGACAGGTGATGGAAAAATTTTAATCATGACAGGATCACTTTACAAAGATTCAGTCAAGCTTCAAGCCTTTTATTGCAAACACCTTAAAGCACATCTTCACCCCCCCCCCCCATATGTTTTGTTTTTTTGTCTTTTCTTTTTAATTCCGTTTACCGGTTGCAGTCTCTGCACAGTTCGTTGTGCTGCTGAGATCCTGCTCTATTTTGCCATCAACCAGGTCCCACGCTGGTATGTGACATCATCAGTAGGCTGCCAGCTCTTCCAGGTTCGGCTAGCAGCCCTCCCAGTGACATCCCATAAGGCCTGCCCTCCTCCTTTGTGAAATAAACACTATGCCTCCTTGAATATGTGATGTGTATATCCCAGGAGGCACAGGGAGCACAGTGCACATCATTCACCTAGGCAAGTGATGTGTAGGGAGGGTATACCTGAACCCCTTTAATTAAAAAAAACAGTAAATAAAGTTTAAAAAAAAAATGCGATCTTTTGTGTAGCAGAAAGGAGAAAATTTTATTTTAAGTGAGAAGATGAGCTTTAAAGTGATTGTAAATTTTACCTTCCTTGGGGTTTTTTTGTAATAACAAAACATGTTATACTTGCCTGCTCTGTGCAATGGCTTTGCAAAGAACAGCCTCAATCCTCCTCTTCTGGGGTTCCCGCTGGCAATCCTTGCTACTCTTTCTTGTCGCACACCCCCCTAGCAAGCTCCTTAGTAGGGGCACACTCATGCGGGCTCATTCCCCAGCCACACTGTGCATCTGTTGACACTTGCCTTGCTCCCTCACCACTGAATTTGATTGACCGCAACGGGAGTCAATTGCTCCAGTGAGGAGGTTAGAGAGAGAGCAGCGCTGCATGCACTCAGGCACAGCGCTGGATCGAGATCAGACTCGGGTAAGTATTTAGGGATAGCTGGGGGAAAACTGCAGAGAATGCATTAAGGTAAAAAAAACATTAGCCTTTACCTCTTCCTTAACTAAAATAATTATGATGACTGAAAGAATTCTGAGAGGGTGCTGTCTTTTAAACTGAGTATGAAACATTATTCCAAACTCTTGCAAAAACATCTCTATTGGTCATACACTTGTTGAGAATTTAGAAAGCTATGACTTGTGTATACAGCCACTCCTCCTTCTCCTCTTCCTAAGCACATTATAGCTAATCATCCTGGATAAAGAGCAAAAATACTCTCTTCCCAAGATGCAATTGTAGTGCTTTTTTTTGTTTTGTTTTTTTATTCCTGTGCTTCATGTGTCAGTCATGGTGATAGAGACGTGGGGTTGGACATAGATTCTGCATAGATCCCCCCAGACTTGTCAAGGATCCCAAACAAGCCTGGGTACACATGACATTTTCTGCAGGAGAGCAGCAAATTTGGGTATAGCCTTCTGAATTTCAGAATCG